TCGATCGTTGGTCTTCAAAGATTGACCCTGCCATTTCTTTTGATGTCTCAAAATGGATCTTCTCCATCTGTATCATTCTTTCATTTGTCAACCTGGCCTATGAGGGTGTCCGTGCCTTTCGAGTCATTCGACGGGGCAATATAGCAGAATCTTACCTTGACAGTTTAGCTGTTCGTTGGGAATCGATTCGTCTTGGTTCCCAGGGGTGGAGGAGGTTCCTAGTCTTTGCTGAGCTTACCAAAAGTAAGGAGGGCGCACAATATATCGCTCTCTTTACATACTTTAACTTCCAAGGTAAGTCTGCCTCATAAGTCACGATGCTTTTTACTGATTTTCCTAGCTTGGATCCGTGTGATCATCTGCTCAGGCCCTCGTCAAGTTCTCAATGCCTTTACACTCAAGTCAGTGTATGAGGCACAATTGACTCCAACCGCCGACAATGTTGGCGACTCTATTACCGGATTCTTCGAGAAGATCAAGATTTTGGCCGAAGAAGACTACCAACAGGCTGTGATTCTCTCCGGCATGTGCTTCACTGTCGTTATTTGGGTTTTCTCCGCCCTGTTTCTTTTGGCCGCCGTTCTTTTCTGGGTCTTTTTCCTATACCATTGGATCCCTGCTGCCGATGGCGGTCTTTCTGGTTACTGTGAACGAAAGGTTACCAAGACACTGATGAAGATTGTCACCAAGACGGTCAACAAAGCTCTGGCTAGAGAGGAAACCAACCGAATGAAAGCTGAGATCAAGGCTAGTAAGAAGGCCGGTGAGAAATTCAATCTTGAACGCGCTGCAACTCTTCCGACCTTGCCAAACGTAGGCCCAGTCGAAAAGATGGGTCAACATCCTATGCTCAACCGCAACGACACCACGACGACTCTGCCACCTTATACTTCACGTCCAGGAACACCAGGCGGTACAGACGTTCCTCCGGTTCCACAAGTGACTATGCCGACCAGACAAGGCACCACGGCATCTATCGCAAGCTTTGCATCTCGGGCCACTTCTAGGTCTGGGGCTGGTTATGGCCGACTTGCATCCCCTGTGCCTGAAGTCCCTCCTCTTAACTATGGAGAGCAGCCTCTTTCACGGACGGATACCATGAACTCGCAAGGGAATCATGGCCAGTACCCGACAAGCCAACCAATGGCAGATCCAATGCAATTCATGTCAGGTCGATACACAGAAAGCCCCGGCCCCATGCATCCTAATAATGCGCCTTTCTACCCCCCACCAGCACGCGCACCCAGTGCTCGTCCGATGGATACTTTTACACAACCCATGGGTTCATTTGCACCGTCACAAGCACCTCCTCCTAGCTCGAGAGGATATCAAGCTTACAACCCCGGAGGACGCACTAGCACTGCGGCCTCTGTAACTTCCCAGCAGAATGGACCTGCGATGCAGCGTCAGTTCAACCCTCCCGTCCGTAGTGCTACAGGACCGATGCCTCAACGAGAGCCTCCTCGTAGAAACTTGACCAACCCTATGCCGCCCCGTTCAGCAAGCGCTAGACCGGATAGGGCCCCTCCTTATAACTATGATGTTGAATCGCAGCGAGGAAGATATGGTTGGTGAAAGGCCGACTATGTAAGAATATGCTGAAATTAATAATGACTTACGAAGCGCGTCGATGTTAATAGGTGGCTTCGTTATGTAATATAACTGAATAGAAATGATACATCGTCGTATTTACAAAATCCCCAAAATCTTGACTGCTGTGCTGACACATTGGGGTACTGGAACTAACTGTATCTGCATCTGCATATATGCCATATCCTACCGCAGCACGTAATCAGCTACGCCCTTTAGGAGACAGCGCTGATGATTTGTCAACAAGCCAAACTAAAACTCGGAACAGACGGCATTACGATGACGGATAACTGACTAAGTCCATGTTTGAATAAGGCGACATGGCTAAGTTCTGGTTCTTAAACCTCATCAACGTCAACCTTGCTCATGGTTTGCAATACGAATTCTCAAGTCAATTACTTCAATCTTACGGAAACTTCTTCAATATGCCTTCTGCGACAACAGACTGGCACGAAGGCGAAATTGCCATGCACGAGCAACTGAAGGTTCCCAAGCTGGAGAACCCCACGTTTCCTGGTTTGGCAGACCGTTATGGGATGCGGGTGATGCATTCTCCCTTGGTCGCTTTGGGGACTCTGGATGACAAGGGCCGCCCGTGGACCACTATCTGGGGTGGAGAACGTGGTTTTGCAAGACCAGTCGCTCAAGACGTTCTCGCATTGAACAGCTCGGTTGATACACGTTATGATCCTGTCTTCAGAGCTCTTTGGGATGGTATCAATGAAGAAGGCGTAAAGCAAGGTGCCATCAACAGGCCCAACGACGGCGATGAAAAGGCAATGTCTGGGTTGGCTATAGACCTTGAAACAAGAGATCGTGTCAAATTAGCAGGGAAGATGGTTGCTGGTGCTACTGTCGATGAAGGCAAGACTGTCCAGCTAGCCATGGCCGTGACTGAGAGTCTGGGCAATTGTCCCAAGTACCTCAACAAGAAGGATATCGTACCCCATATCATGGAGCCAGAGCTCATTTCCGAAAAGCTTCCCTTGCCTCAAGACGCTTTAGATATAGTTGCAGCAGCGGATATGTTATTCTTGTCGAGCACAAATGGAAATACCATGGATACCAATCATCGTGGAGGAAGTCCCGGTTTCATACGAGTTATCAAGAATGAAGAAGATGGGGTCGAGCTTATATATCCAGAGTGTAAGTAAGTTCACGCATTTGTCTACAACATGAGCTAACAAATTCTCAGTTTCGGGAAACAGATTATACCAGACATTGGGTAACTTCAAAGTTAACCCCCGAGTTGGTGTTGCAATCCCTGATTACAACAATGCCAATATTCTCTACCTTACTGGTACCGCATCTGTGCTTATAGGCGAAGAAGCTTCTTCTTTGCTTGCAAGGACAAAACTGGCTGTCAAGATATCAGTTTCCTCTGCCAAGTTCGTCAAGTCTGGGCTTCCCTTTCGAGGCTCCCTGGGCGAATACTCTCCTTACAACCCGCCCATTCGCCACCTTCTTTCAGAAAATGATGCGCATCTTGTTGCTGAGAACTCAAACTCTGTAACGGCAACTCTGAAAGATCGGGAAATTATCACATCCTCGATCGATCGGTTCACCTTTGAGCTATCCTCCCGACAGCCTATAACAAACTGGCACGCCGGGCAGTACATCACGTTGGACTTTGAACCGGAGTTATCGAATGGCTACAGCCACATGGCAGATCATGATCCCCAGAGCATCAATGATGACTTTGTGCGAACATTTACTGTTTCAAGTCCACCAGAGAACAGCAAAGAGTTACAGATTACGACAAGACGACATGGGCCAGTGACAAACTTTCTAAGAAAACACAACCCACGTGTGTCGCTTGAAGTACCAGTTATTGGCTTCGGCGGCGAAGAGGGCTTCCGCATCCCTCTGGAGCCGCAGGGTCCTAAATCGATCTTCATCGCGGCAGGTGTCGGTATCACACCTGTCCTCGCGCAAGCACCAGTCATTCTAAAGCATAACGTGCCATTCACACTCCTCTGGACTCTGCGTTACGAAGACTTACCCCTTGCGAGCGACACGTTATCTCGTATTCCTGGACTTGCAAAGTCGACTACTCTCTTCGTCACAGGACAACCAAACAAGGACAAGGAGAGTTTGTTGGACGAAGCGGAGAAGGCTGGTACACGGATTGTGAAGCGACGAATAAGCGCGAACGACGTCGAAAGCTTCAAGGGCCAGAATGCCCGCTTCTTCCTATGCACGGCTCCTGCGTTGCTGACTGCGCTTGAGGAGTGGCTGCATGGGGAGAAGGTTGTGTGGGAGGACTTTGGATATTGAAGCATGTGCCTACCTACATCCTGGAAATTTGGACTGAACTCTATACCTAAGCGATACTTTGCCGTAGTGAACTTGAAACTTCTTGTGCGTGTTATTTAGTTTACTCACATACCATATGCTGTCTGATCTTTAGCGTGCAACTTTAGGGGAATTGCTCCACGACGTCACAGAGGCTTTTACTGCGCCTTGCATACCTATATCTTTTAGAAGAGTGAGCCTAAACTTTCATAAGGCTAATAATGTATTTCGTCTCTGATGCTTCTTAGCTACCGCTAAAGCTAAGTCAGTGATTGAAGCTGTGAGCGTCGTGGTGTTGAAATTTGTTGAGGATAGTATAGATTCAAAAAGGTACATGTAAACACCCTTGAGACACCCTTCCCAACCAGAAACCCCGGCGCTGCTTCCCCCTTTGTTGATCCTCGTCCCACTGGCGCCGTCGCCTGTCGTCGTCGCCTGTCGCTCGAGAGGTGCTGGTCTGTAGATGGAGGGGAAGGTAAAGAAGGGGTAGGTGTCTAAGAGCGTAAAACCCTAGCGAGCTGATCCTTTCTGTGACTAGCGGAGATGGGGGAGAGTACTAGCAATCGACGGTGAATCTCTGGCCGAATAGAATTGAGATAACCGATGAGGAAGTGGAAGGGGTGCACGGTTAAGACAAAGTCTCTAGTTCGGGGGCTATAGACGAGTGGTGCACCAAGGCAAACCGATACACCTAGGCATTTGCGGCGGAGGATATTCGATCTCATTCATCGACTGAAGATGTCGAGTGACGATGTTGATAAATTTGTCGAGTAACGATGTCGAATAAAAATGCATCGTCATTCGCCTCCGAAGAGTTGATCCCGCCCCCCACGGAGAGGGTGACGATATGGACGGGATAAAAATGCCGTAATGATGGTAATAATATGGAGCAGACCTTCGATAATAATGGTGGTTGTCGTTCTATGTAGATATATTAGCTTCGGCTTAGTGTGTAAGTAGCAAGGCCTCAGGGTATCAGAAAAATTGACCGCTGGAAGCATAAGAGTTGAAATTGGTAGGCTACTTTATGCTCCCTAGAGCATTTGTACCCTAAGACTTAGGAAAAACTTACAAGTTTGTTGGTTCGATAAGTATGTTTGGAGGATTAAAGATAGTTACTCCTCCTCGATCTCCACGGTCTCCTTCTCCTTCTCCTTGGCCTTAGGGGCCCCGGCCCTTGCGGCCGCAAGTTCTTCCAGGCGAGCCTAGGTAAGATATTAGCAAAAGAATATGCTGATGAAGTAAGGCCTACATACGTCCATAGTAGCCAATACCTCCTAAACAGAGAGAATGTGTCAGCAATCTGCTGTTTCATGGCAAAGGTAGGGAGATACTTACAAGGGCATCCTCGCGTTTCTCTGCCTCAGCTCTCCAATGCTGTAAACATAAGTAGTTAGTCATCGTCTTTGCAGTAGTCATTGCATATTTGTTTACGAGAACTGTGTTCAGCTCCGCCTAGAGTGGGATAGTTAGCAAAGTTAAGTACGATGTAGATAGAAGTACTTACGTCCCGGAGCTGATTTTGGCGGATTGCCTCCGCCTGGTGAACCTATTTTTGTAAAGTAAGTATTGACCTAGACGTTGACATACCTAAGGTAACAGGGCAATCCTTACCATGGCGCGATCGTAGGCTCTCTGAATTGAATTAGTACTTCCAAGTCACATGTTGTGGGAGGGATACTTACGTCTGCCTTGTCCAAGGCTTCCTATTAACCATATCAGCATCTCAAACGACCGACTCACCTTGATCCATCTCCAGGGAGATATTGATATAAAGCTAAAAAAAAAAGAAATGAAACAAAGATGGGAGAGGTAGCTTACCGCCTTGCTGCCGACCTGTGGTAAGCATAGTCAGTTGATATGATGTTCCGTCGGGGATAATGAGGGGAGAGGTTAATCATAGTTACCACAGGCTTATTCTATTGCAATATTAGCAGTGATCAGTAAAAACATGACAGTGTGTTTCAATAGCCTACCTTCTTGGCCTCGGGGGCCGTCTGTTGAGGCTGCTGCTGCTGCTGCTGGGACGACTGTTTAATAGCAGTGATAAAGATGCCAAGTGCTGCCGGTGAAAATCATTCTCACGGAGGAAGATGCCCGAGATGGGCGCGAATACTATAGACCGTTAGATACTACGCCATGCTCGAGGGAAAGATGTCAACATACAGGGGTAGAATTACGCTGAAAGGGATCAATCAGTAGACAGCCTCTTTGCGTTGGATTGAGTACTTACAGAACCACGAGGGGGGTTGCCCCCGCGGCCGAAGCCGCCGCCCCGAGAGGCACCTCGCCAGTTGTTGTTCTGTAGTTTAAATTAGCTTCTGGCACATTTCTATATCTACCTGGAGTGTTTGAATGATGCTCATGGATCTTCAGGCTGGGCAAGTTGGGTATTGATGGAGTTGTGGAACTCAAGGAATTGAGGTGATGCTGGAAACTGCTGTATCTGTAGAGGCTTGGAGAATACTGAAGCGGATGGCAAGGACAGCGACATGTGAAGGACAAGGGGATTGACTGACGAGATCTCCGTAGTTCTAACTCCAATGTTAGTTACCGTGATCAGTATACTGTAGCTTGGGGGAACTTACGCGGCCAGACATTGTGGTTGATAGTGTTCTATTGATATGTTAGTTCTGAAAGCATACGGCGATAGATAGAATGGACTTACGGTTTGAAGTTTGAAGAGGCCTAAACAAGCAATCGCCAACATTAGCAATGTTCCGGTGAGTACCAAGGTAAACCAGTACTTACGAGTTTGAATTGGTGGCAGAACTGACACATTAGTGTCAGCAGTCTGCCATACCAGGCAGAATACATGGGGGTCGAAACTTACATTGGTCGATGTACAGACTGTAAGAAATGGTTAGCAAAATTATCTCAAGACGCATAGCAATCGCTGGGGACCATGGAGGGGACACTCACAGTGGTTGTGATGGGGTGAAAAAAGGAAAATGTTCTCGTCAAAAAAATGTCTAACTAATATTCTCCTCTGTCTTCGAGCATAGCAAGTGCAATACGGCATAATTTACTCACTTGGTAACAGCGAACCTCCATCGTGTGAAGATACGGTAGGTACGCTTGACGATGGCCCCGTGGAAGGTGAGGATCATCCATGATAGTATTTGAGCGTCGTCGACCTTTTGGAATATAGGCAGGTACCTTACATTGGTATGGTAAGACGGGAACCCAGAGAATAGGAATGCTGTTAAGACAAAAGTACACTTGCCGAGGCTTTCGTCTTGCTCGGAACATCAAGAACATCATGAACAAATTGTCTTCTCAACATAGCGAAATGATGTATCACACTGCTGGTTACTCAAGAACTCCTCAGACTCCGACTTGTGAACTAGCTCGCAAGCATTTAACTTCTTATAGTAGTAGCAAAATTGCATTCTGAATTTTGACTGAACAAATGAAAGTACTGTGGCTTTGCCTGTCCATATCTCAGTTATCTATTTTTGTTTGTGTCATACCTACTACCAGCTTTCGGACAAGTTTTTCTGATTCATTGGACATTGTGGATTTGGGGGAGGGGCAGCTTCAAGACGATTTGTTCCAGAAAAGAGCATATTATACATGAACATAGGAAACCAAAAAAGGAGAAAAATCAGTCGCTGGGTATCAAAGTTTCCACTGCCTGTTTTAGTGTAATGACGCATAAGGACGTATTGATCCGTAAGAGAAACCTTGTACTACAGCTTGTAGCCGCCCTGAATGAGACCCTCATTTTACACTATTCCTCCTCATCATCATCCTCATCGTCACTGTGAATGATCCAGCCGAACTCATCGCGAGAGAAGGAGCGGCCTATCGTGGGATCCTTCACCTCGTTATCCCGACGAACAAGAAGTCTAACGAAGTCTTGAGGTGGGGGGCCGTCCCGTTCAGCAAAGTGATCAAAGCTCTCGGGCGATGGGAAACAATCTAACAGGGAGAGACGATCAAGCTTCTGAATAAACTTCGACGCAGTAGCCGATGACCCATTGCTTGTATAGTTAACGACATCGTCCCACTTGACCTCGATATACTCCGTATCGCAGTCCCGATACACCGTATTATGATGTTTAGAAAGGCCGGCAAACCACTTAGCCTCTTTGTCGATGATCCATATCCCCTCGACGTCAATTTCAACCGAGTTATTCATGCTAACCAAATGTGACAAGTACCCCCGCGCAGAATTCTCCCTTTTCAACTTATAAATGGAGTCCGGAACATCCGTAAGCCAGCTACGACCAAACTCGAGGGCAATATTGTTAGGTATGAGCTCATGGTAATAAGCTCCATTGTGACGGGTAAATAACATCTGTACCCCGAGATCATAATGTGGTTGCGGCAGAGCGACCCAATCCTCCACCTGGATGCAAAAGATGTCTCTGGCGGGGTAGACGAGCATACGGCACTCTTCTTCGCTTTGGCATGTATCGATGATTGCAGGGTGAGCAGACTCATGTCCCCCAGGCCAGTCCGCAGGGCACTCAGAGAAGCGGTCTCCATCGTAGATGGCTTGTTTTTGAATTCTGACCCAATCGTAAAAGTGTGAGTGTTGAGCGATAACCTCCCTCGATTCTTTGCACGCTTTCCAAAGGCCGCCGTCGATCAAGTAGGCGGACCTGTTTTTCTTTTCCGGAGGTATTTGTTCCCCGGATTGACGCCAATTACAAGGCAATGGGACTACCTCTCCATCTTGGACGGCGACGTACTGCATGCGGCGATCGGAGGGAGTGATTACGAGACATGCCGCTTCCCAGATTTGTAGTCGCAGTTCCACCGGCAGTCGGGCAAAGGGGTGGAAGACAGACAGAGACATGTGGTAGGCTGTAGTTTGAAGATTGTGATCGAGAAGGTAAGTTGAAGTTGAGCCCAAAGATAGGATATGCGACGTAAGAGAAGATCTAGGTGAGTGAGGGTGAAGCCAATGCTAGCGACTGCGAGTACAAAAAGAAATAAAGGGAATTTGATGACGGACGGATGTTACATTCTATATGTAGTGAATTAGTAAAGTTTATACTCTGTAAGAGAGTTCCAATCAAGCTTCATTGAAGGAGCTTCGTCACGTGTGGGCATGTAGAGAATTGGACTATCAAACTTAAAGCAGGGTGGCTGCACTTAATTAGCAGAAAAATTGGCCTCCTAAGTCTTAGGGTATAAAAATAAGTAGTTTAAGAAGTATAGTCTAAGGAGCATAAACTGACCTACTAATTTCGTCTTTTATGCTTCTAGTGGTCAATTTTTCTGATACCCTGAGGCCGGGGCTGTGACTGCATAATGCGTTAGCGAAGCCTTCCATCAACTCCAGGAATGATGGCCACGATTCAACAAACCGTTAAGTGCGTCTCCCACACTGCCTGCAGTCCATCGGACCAGGTCCCCGGGCGACACCGCGTGGAGGTTGTGGGAGTCCGACTTCGTCGCCCTTCCCCATCCCAACCCATAACGCACAGCGACTCTGGCACGTTGGCTCAGCAGTGCCGGCAACAAGCTCACCCGCGCCGTGGATAGGTCGCGTTGGCTGCTCAATCTTTACTCTCTTCCATCCTTCATTACCTACTCAATATCATTCCACTTTCCAACCTTGTACCGCTTCTTTGGGTTCTCAGGTGGATCAAGAATCTTGTCCTGATCTTCCCATAGCTTCAGTGCCTTTTTCCTTGCGTATTCAGTCAAAGTTGGGTTCCCATTCGCATCCACGACTGAGTATAGTGCCCAGTACGCGTCGATGGCCTCCAAATATGCATCCCGTCTCCTCTCATCAATCTTCCCATTTGCGTGTCTTGCTTCAATATCGGGTATGTATGATTTGACGGCGGCTTCGAAGCTCAGCCAGTCAAAGCCCTTTGTCGGGTCATCCTTTTCCAGCCTCACCTTGACCTCCTTTCCGTCCTTTGTAATAGTCTTCCAGAACTGTTGAAGCCGTGGCGGCTGGCTGTGACACTTCTTGTTCCTTGTGCCATATTCCCTGACCCATAATAGTACGGTTGTACGTTCCACTCCGGCTTCCTCACACATTCGCTGTATGCGGTCCAGAAACGGTGTCGCAGGTGCGTTGTTTTCATCGCCAGCAACAGCTCGCCATTGGAAAAATTTAGCCTTCTCAGCCTCCACTTCCTCGTGAGTACTCGTAAACATACGCTTGTGTATACATTCCCACCGCGCATCGTCCTTCGCTTGTTGTCCAGCTTTGACTTCCCCCCAAGTGCCTGGTCCTGTGTACTGTACACCTTTAGCCTTTGCTTCTGCCTTCTTCTTCTCTATGGCTTCCTCCTTAGTCTTCTTGTTTTGTTCTTCATATTCTTTCTTGATAATTTTCTCATCTTCTTTCTTTATAAAATTTTCCTGTTGTCCATACTCGAGCAAGAAGTCGAAGTCCTCCTTCTCCGCCTTTAGTTTCTCCTCTTCCTGTTTGACCTGGCCATATTGTTCCTTGAGGGTTTGTAGCTCCGCTTCTAGAACTTCGATCTTCTTCGACAGGGATTTGCGCTCATTCTCAGCGTTGTGGGCCTGCTTCTGCTTCTTCTGGAAGAACTCAAAGGCACTTTCCAGAAGGGACTCGTCAGTATCATCAGAGTCCAAGGCCTTGTGAGCCATCTCGAAAAGCTTATCATGTAAGCGAATGCTAGTGGGACTCAGCTCTTTATCCTGGTATTGTTCCAGTTCACATATGACTTTCAAAGCCACATCACCATGCTTGCGCTTTTGTTGAAGCGTATATTGTTTGTTGGAAGACATGGTGCAGTTCTTGTTCTTTCTTGTATCGTTCTTGTTTGTGTTTGCGTTTGCGTTTTGCATTTACGTTTGTATTCTCTCTTGTTATTTTGTTTATGATCGAGGGTCTGGACAGAGGCTCTATGTGAATGGGTATCCGGTGCTGTCAACAGAATCAAGGAAGTAACGGCCGCCTACACCAGCGGACTTCAAAGAAGGACCTCAATTACAACTTACTACCTTCTTCAACGACACCAAAATGCCATTCTTCCCATATTGTCAAGACGGGAACACCAGCCTCTCGACAAGCTATTACCCAGGAACGTACTCAGTAGTACTTAGACTCATAATGACTCGGCCACTTCTAGAGTCCCTGTGCCCCATGCTATCACCTTTACCCCTTAACTGATAAAGACAAGCCACCAGGACTTTCCAAACATTCGATTACTTCGAACAAGAACGATTGGCTCTCTTGACTTCTTCAATCTTGCCATTCTTCAATGGTTAGTTCCTTTACTAGCAGAGGTGACAGTACTAGCCGACATATGGCAAGTAATAGATCAAGGAGTGTTACTTCGTATAGTACAAGAAGCGCTATGTCGATGTAATGAGGCATAAGAGACGAAATCAGTAGGCTAGTTTATGCTACTTAGGCCACACTTCTTAGACTACTTATTTTTTGTACCCTAAGGGTCAGGAGGCCATTTTTTCTGCTACCCACTAGCCCGGTCCTAGATCTCTCCAGCCGCTTTGACGCCCTCTTGCCCCCTCATCGTTCACGTCTCTTGAGATACCTCGACTGTCTCACCTCTATATCTTCTCCCAATCTCTCCAAGGAAGCTTGAACCATATTCCATTGGCATGGACGTCTTCCCAGCAGCCCCGGCCTCCTCTGGAACTACGAGACCTATACATACCTTGACCCCCCGGCCCGTAGAACTTATACATCTAAGATCTCTACAGCTAAGTTAACTTTCCATAGCCCTCTGCGACCGAGGCACCACCGGCCACACTAAGCTGTACCAGGCCCTGAGCTTTCCCTCTATTAGATCGGTTGGTTAGATGAGACAGCTTGTTGTCCGCGACACCTGTATCAGAATGAATCCCTGACCTGGTACCGGATCACACGAGCCATTGCCACTCGCCCTGCAGTATAGCACGCAGAGAGTTCTCTACTCGTTGGTCTGACGGGGAGTAGACCAGCTAAGCAAGCTCAGTTAGGCACAAAAGCGCAAGACACATCTTCATTAGTAAAAGCTACTGCATTTAATATTATCGAATAATTCTCCAAATATATCTCTAGAGATAACAGGGAATTACACAGATACGCAAAACCTAATGGTTACTCACTGGATTTACTATCTAGCATCTGAGATTATTCCAGACTTTTATGACTATCTCGCACTTTTAGGCCCAACTAAGCTTGCCTAATTGATCTACTCCTTATCAGACCAACGAGTACCTACTCCACGTTTGTGAAATAAATCCCGAATAGTCTACACTTTTCCCCGCAAAGATATCCGGGACATGAGTTACGGTTTATCCACTCCCCCGCGGTTTTCGAAGATGCGGATCCGCACTCTTCTCGTCCATATCACGTAAGGACAAATGGAGAATACTTTTTGTAAGCTAGCAAGTTGCTAGAGTGATTCCTGGCTCCAAGTTTTGTTGTCAATGTCATGAAATTGAAGAGTGGAGTGAGGAGAAAGTAGGAGAATCATCGGGCTGAAGAGGACCTTTACGGCACGTCCAATGTGAGGCTTCGCTTGAGCTACGAAACATGCCGAATCGCCACGAGTCATATGTATTGGGGAATGGAAAAAGTTCGAATTGCTCCGATTGCTGAATTCTGGTGGATACTACTATTTCCCGAAACTCGCCCAGAGTTGCTTTCCTTATGCCTCTCAAACCCGGCCATATATGCTTGGTATTATGCCAATCTTGTATCGTCTGAAGTCCCTAATACAACCTTAGACCGATAGAATATTCTCCCTCTCCTGGGACTACCCGCTTGTTTCGTCCGAGGAATATTGGATCAACAATTCCTCGGAATGCTTCTGAGATTGCTGACTCCGAGTTCCCGCGGTTTAGAAGCAGTTGCTGGTCCGCTGTCGGCGACAGGAGATGCGGTTATCGGAAATCTTGTTACTCACGCCAAAGCGGAACCGGCTAAAACTCCCTCAATTGTAATGCAATACGATGGATACCTGGAGAGGAGCGTGTATCGTTGCAGAAACGACAGTAAAAACGCCAGTTTTGGACGGGGTCTGTAGTGGACCTCTCACTATACTCTTTGGAGGTATTAATTGGTCCGGTAAACAACTCAAAGGCATTACTGCTTTCTCGGCGCCTCACTAGTATCTAGGCGAGGTTCTGTGTGAAACGCTTTGATCAAAAAGGGGAAAATAACGCCTTCGCATACAGAAAGCGCAATGTGTGAATATGAATCCTTGACATGGACTATCACATATTGGGTGGATTGAGTTGAGAGTTGATATACGCGATCATGAACTTGATTCGAGTCTGACTTCTCGTTCTCGTGAGATGAGTCTTGCTTAATTGGTGGTTCGACATTTTATAATTGAGCGAAAAAGAACTGGCTATATCTGGCTTGCTTCTCCGAAAATAGAACAGAAAATCTAGGCGTAGACTATTGAGATAGGCTAAATGATTACAGATACAATCCAACATGATCTGATATTCTTGTGGCATGCGGTTTTTGCCATCACGGACGCAGTTAAGAACGGTGGAGCTAGAGCTTGCGATGCATCAATAAATGGTGTTAAGCTTCAGGGATATGCGTGGAGTCTCTTGATGCAGGAGACAATTGAATACATAATAAGTTGCTATATCGTTGAGAGATTCAATGGACGGTCTTCTGTATTAACTAATGTAATCGTGTTTGACTTCCTGAGATAACGTAGTTGCGCGGAGTATTTATGTAATTGTGAATTCAACAAGAAACGACATGACTTCTGATTATCAAGACTGTAAGCTGCTGGAGAAACCACCCCGCATATCCCGACAGGGGTTGAAGAAACTCTGATTGACTTACAGCGCTGACAAAGCCATCTTTGTGGAAGAGATGAAGTCAGATTGGAGAACAAGCCATGTCCCTACGGAAATGCGACTAGGAATCACGAGGGTTGTGCTTGAGGAGTTGATCGACATGGATCATGGCAAGTCGCTGCAGTGATGGCCAGAACTCTCGCGTAATATAAGACACAAATTGACAAAGACTATCGCGGCAGGTTTTGATTTTGAGGCTTGCCAAGATCGGTAACTTTCAGTCTAGTCGATGCTCAGCAGGGAACTTGCTAGCTATCAATCATGTTCTGTCACTTGTCCTTATGTCCTTGTATCACGTTCCCTCAAGCCGGACATCGGTGGAGTGGCTTAGATCGCCGTCGTCATACCCCGCCACGATGAGTTAGAGGACGTGAATGATTTGAGAGAGTGATTGAGAGTTTAAGCGGACAAAGGGAGAAAGAGTCTATTAACTGGTTGTCTTTGTATCCTTTGTAAAAGTTACAACTCACAGCCAAGAGCTGTAAGAACTCATCGTGAATTGTGAGACAATAAGCGAAACTAGTCATTCCAGGCAATGAGTTACCATGTGCAAAACAACAACAATACTTTACTCAACAGAGAAGAGAATTACTCCACAGACAGACCTCGATGGCGTGCCTGGACTTTCACTGTTTGTGGGTGCGAATTCTGTAGGCATCGATCCATGGCAGTTGAGTGCTTTTACGGGGACTGGGGTTCCAATGGCTTCAGGCCCTTTAGCGGTCCTGAAACTGACCTACCAAGTGTTTCGGCAGGTTCCTGCTTGCTTATGCTGCCCCATATTTCCTTCCATATTAAGATTCGGATTCTGTGCACGCGCAGTTGTTTGCCCACCATCTTTTGCCTGCTGTAGACCAGAACTGCACTAGACAGTACCGTACCTGCCCATACCTAGAGATTTGAATCCAATTCTCTCAGTCTAGAAGGCCCAGAAACAAAACCTTCTTCCTCCCTCTACTAATTACTCTTAAACTCAACTTAACTCTCTCAACATCTTTTCACGCTTACTTACAATCAATCACTTTTACTCACAAGTGACAACTCCGCCTCCACCGAGAACGAAACTCGTCCTGTATCATCGACTACTATAAAACAGTCTTCTACTATACTTGTTGATTTCCGGAACCCCCGCCATCGCCGCCGTCTAGACTACATATCGGCTCGGTTCGCCAAATATTTGCGCTGCTCTCTCTCACCTGGACAACGCGACGACATCCGCAATCTTGCCACCTCCACTATTTCAACCATCGTCTGATCGCTTTGACGGTTTTCTCAGACCCAACATTTGCTGCTCAGGCCCGTTCATTTCCCAAGACTCGGTCGTAGTTCGGTCTCTGGACCGACACTGCCGTGCCCCTCGCTCCCGCCCGCCGTCACCTGCTACCGGCGCCGGCCGTTGCTTTCGGATCGCGAAACCCCTCGTTCCGCACAACACGCTACTTTCCACCTCTCACAAACCAATATCAATACCCAAATAATAACAAAATGGCCTGCGACTACCAATACGTCAAGGAGCACACCAGGGAGGACTACGTCTTCCCTTCGCACCGCTTTCAGCGATCATGCTCCCCAGATAAAACTCCGCTATGCCTCGTGGCTTGTGGTTCTTTCAGCCCAATCACGTTCCTTCAGTACGTTTTTCCTGCAGAATATGGGTTCCTCGTGCGATCGTCCACTTTGATCGGACTGGATCCCTCCAAGCCCGAAATATCATGCGACATGATTGAATTTTCAAGACTGTAGCTAACGTTTGAGCAGCCTTCGAATGTTTCCTATGGCTCGAGACCATGCTCGCAATGAGGGTAGGTTGATTGCTGATTGCAAAATCCGAAACACCGCTGACAAGAACCAGATTTTGAGGTTGTTGCTGGAGTTTTGAGTCCTGGTACGTAAATTCTGCATTTCAAAATAACGATCAATAAACTAACTGTCCGGTAGTCAGCGATGCCTACAAGAAGAAGGGTCTAGCACCTGCTCACCATCGCATTGAGATGTGCAGACTTGCCACAGAGAACACCTCCAAGTGGCTCATGGTGGACCCCTGGGAAGCCGAGAGCCCAACTTATATCCCAACTGCCAAGGTGCTCGATCACTTTGACTACGAGATCAACGAGGTCATGGGAGGTGTTGAGTGCACGGATGGTACTCGAAAGCGTTGCCGCATCGTACTACTTGCCGGCCTCGACCTGATTCAGACCATGTCCACTCCGGGGGTTTGGGACGAGCGTGATCTCGACCACATTCTGGGCAATTATGGCGTTTTTGCTCTCGAGCGCACAGGAACTGAAATTGATTCAACTCTTGCGAACTTGAAGCAATGGGAGAAGAACATTCATATTATTCGCCAGGTAAGCCACCTGCAACGCTTGAAGTAGTCACATGACATTAACAAAATAGGTCGTCACCAATGACATCAGCAGCACAAAGATTCGCCTGCTCCTTAAGCGAAACATGTCAATCGATTTTCTGATTCCCGATGATGTTATCAGCTACATCTACGAGCACAATCTTTACCGCGACCTGGATATGCCTGATTCCAAGGGCAAGGAGAAGGCTCTTACGAATGGTCCCGACGCCGGAACCACCACTGGCTGAATTTCTTTACAATTCAAGCAAACGACATAACCAGTGCCGAGTCCTTACATCGGCCCCGATGCACCTAGCGAGCCTTGTGCACAGTGGCCAAATAATTAGACCCGACGAGCAGACACCAAAGCCGAGACACTGAGTTGGAATAGCTTCTAGCCGGTATTTGTTTTGAGTAGTTCCATGCTAGGGTCAAGGGACATTTTATTATAGACCGCGCAGCGGACCACTATGGATTAGTTTGGTCCAGTATTAGATGCGCCCGGTTTGGGGTATAGAAGTTGTGGTGAAGAGGAGGTGGATTCTCACTTTCCTTTATTGCGTCGCTCTTTTTGCAACCTGCTTTGGATACGCACGCAGTTGGCTAGAGCGCACTCTTACTCTGGAGCGGAGTTATTTTATTAATTGAGGCATACCAAGTCGGAGTATCCCGATATTTCGGAGCTCTCCTAACTATCAATCTTGCCTTGCGGTGTTTACGGACTACTAGTTCTCCTGATTGCCAGGGTTCTCTAGCTGCTGATATGCACGTGTGTGGCCAAGGGTTCATACAAGATAGTAGACAAGAGTTGCTTCAGCTCGCCACATTGAAACCGATGATGGTTGATGATTTTAACCTCGATTTGAGAGCTTTATACTAACGAGACATGTTATTATACATATTTGGATTTTTAAATAGGAGATACCCGTTCAATTGACTATGGACCAATTGATCAAGTCCATGTTCAGCTAGGTGTGGTCTGAAACTTTATGTATTTCCACACAACGAATGATAAGCCAGCATGAGAATCTTTTGCATGACAACTCGCCCTCCGTCCAACAACGGAAAGTCATGTCCGCGATAGACAATATCTCCGATTTGACTCCTTGCTTTCTCGGGCAAGATTGCACGAGGACAAGATCATCCAATAGAGGTTTCCAATTGATCACGTCCCAGCATTGCCGAGGCGAAAAAGTAGCAAGGAAGCAGAAAGCTACAAAAGGGACCTGCAGAAAGAGGAAAAGCGCCAAATGAACAATCAACGCTGAGTGGTCGCTTCCTATTCGGCGCATAGATAAACGTGCCAGATCGATAGGGCACTTGGAGGCTTGGCAGCGGTATTGGACATCAATTTATAGTGATAGACCCTTTGCCAAGGGGAGAAAACACTACGCGGATTCGGTATCGCTTTGGGTCTTTTGTACCAGGGGAGGGAAGCTTTTCCCCTAAGGCCAGGATAGGTAGGTACAGTTGGTCTTGGGAGCTATATCGTGGATACAAATAGCTGAGCATGGCCCTGACGATCAATTGAAGGGAACCAGGGACTGTCAGTCGTTCGTTCTGCAAATATGAAGCTCCAATTCCTTGTCTCTTCCCTCATCAGTCCGTTGGTCACGGCCTTGACCATTGCCGAGATTAACGGTGATCGATACCTTTCGCCTTACCAGGGAAAGAATGTCACAGGTGTAGAGGGTCTCGTTACAGCTGTGGGTAGCAATGGGTTTTACCTGCGATCGACGAAGCCTGATCGTAGTGCTGCTACCTCTGAGGGATTGTACATCTTTGGAAAGTCAGCCGTCGGTAATGTTGCTGTAGGCGACGTTATTACCCTCGATGGTTTCATTGAGGAGTACAGGTGAGTCTTGCCAAGTCAATCAGTCAGTTGAAATATCGCTAAAACATCTCTAGATCCAACAAGGACTACGTCTACCTCACAGAGCTCTCTTCTCCCAAGAACATTGTTGTCAAGTCCTCTGACAACAAGTTCAAGCCCAAGGTTATCGGCAAGGATACTGGTAACCCTCCTGGAAAGCACTTCTCCAAGCTTGACGACGGCAATGTCTTTGCCGTGCCCAACAACAAGAGCCTCGTTTCAGTGGCCAACCCCAAGCTGCAGCCCAACTCGTACGGTCTCGATTTCTGGGAGAGCCTTTCTGGCGAGCTTGTCACTGTTTCCAAGGGCTATGCTCTTAGCCGACCTAACAACTTTGGCGATTTCTGGGTCAGAGGTAATTGGAAGGTCTCTGGTCTGAACAAGCAGGGTGGCTTGACTATGGTTGGCAGTGGTATGTTGATCTTGCGCACCAATTGTTGATTTGACTGACTTTATATCTAGATGCTAACCCCGAGGCCATCGTTATTGGCTCACCTCTGGATGGTACAAAGAACCCCGACGACACTAAGCTCGGTGACTTTGTTGGCGATATCACTGGCGTTGTAACATACGCCTTTGGCTTCTACCGCATCCTTCCTCTTACTGCCGTCAAAGTCAGCAAGCGATCTAACCCAGAGCACCCTGCCGTCGGCTTCACCAGCAAGGGATCCTGCAAGGGTATCACCGTCGCTGACTACAACACTGAGAACCTGAACCCCGATTCTGCTCACTTGCCTCTTGTTGTTAAGCAGATCGTCGAGAAGCTGCGCACTCCTGACCTGATCTTCCTCCAGGAGGTTCAGGACAACAGCGGTGCTGCTAACGATGGTGTCGTATCTGCTAACAAGACCCTCGCTGCCCTTGCTGATGGTATCGAAGAGGCCAGCGGTGTCGCGTATGAGTGGGCTGAGGTCGTGCCCGACAACAACCTTGATGGTGGCCAACCCGGCGGTAACATCCGTCAGGCATACCTCTACCGCCCCGACGTTGTCGAGCTCGTTAACCCCAACGAAGGCAAGGCTGGAGATGTTAATGCTGTCCTTGACGGCCCTTCGCTCAAGTTCAACCCCGGCCGTATCGATCCCGCCAACTCTGTGTGGGACAACAGCCGCAAGCCTCTTGCCGCCGAGTGGAAGCCTGTCAAGGGCACCAAGAAGTCTTTCTTCACTGTCAACGTGCACTTTGGTAGCAAGGGTGGTTCATCTTCTATGCACGGCGATGCTCGTACCCCTGTCAACAAGGGCGTTGAGAAGCGCACTGAGCAGTCTAAAGTCACTGCTGTAAGTTCCCAGCTCTCTTTGGCATCTCACGATAAACTAACAATCTGCAGGATTTCGTTGCACAGATCCTCAAGAAGGACAAGAAGGCTCACGTTATTGTGGCCGGTGACTTCAATGAGTTTGCTGACGTTGCACCAATCGATGCTTTCGTCGAGACCTCTGGTCTCGTTGACATCGACGATGCCGCTAAGATCCCCATGACTGAGAGATACACATACTTGTTCGACAGCAACTGTCAGGCACTTGACCACATGTTCATCAGCAAGGAATTGCGCAAGGGTATCAAGTATGAGCATATGCACATCAACACTTGGCAGGACACGGCAGGCGAGGTTAGCGACCACGATCCTAGCGTTGCTTTGTTTGATCTGTGCTAGATATAATGGCGGTATAGATATTTGTACATTATCAATTAATTCGCTTGCATGATCCAAATATTTTCTAATCAAGAGTTATGCCTTGGTGTTGCATCAGTTCTTTAGTAGGATCTACTCTTCGCCACTGTTATCGTCGTCATCGGGCTCTCCTTCCGAATCCTCTTGTTCAACTTCGTCATCTTCATCTCTATCATCGTCCTGGCCTGGATCTGGCATAACAATGCTGTTCAAGAACGTAACCTGAGTGTGTTAGCCAAGTCAGCGGCAGAAAGAACATGCGACTTACAAATCCAATCATTGGGCGAATAATCTCACTGATCTTCTCCTGCGCATCGTCGCGATAGAATAGATCATCGTCAATCTGAGTCCCAACAGTGAAATTCCTCAACTTCAAAAGTGCGATGTCCCGGTGTTCTGTAGTGAAGCCTTTCGGCTTTGTTTTGAGTGCATTATTTTGGTTCTTCTCGGCGAAGGCGAGCAACGCTGCCTCTGGGTCAGACTTCTTGGCTGCATTGGGTAGAAACGTGCGCTTGAAGGCTTCGTCGTTCAAAACACGACGCCATCGATTTGGCCGCTCGTCAATACTGGCGCGAAGCTTGTGCATCTGATCGCCGTCGGGACACCACAGACCACCGCCAATGAAGGATTTCTTGGGCTCGCAGTGGATGTAATAGCAGGCGTAAGGACCTTTACGGCCTGTGCGAGACCATGCAGCAGAGAAGTGAGGCTACAGTTGTAAGTAGAGATCTAGAGGGTAATTAAAGGGGTCATTCGTACCTTGTATGGCGTAGGATCTTTACTGAAGCGGATGTCTCTGTGGATGCGAAAACTCAGGTCCTTGATGGGTAGCTCGGGGATTGTCTCGTCCAGATCAATCACTGATTCTGATGTACATTCAACGAATGAGTTCCAGTCTTTTAGAGCACGCCGATACTCTTCATCATGTGCTATATAAGTCAGTGGAGGTTCTAGAGTGACAGGTGTGTTGTACTAACACTTTAACCAAGGTCGCTGGTTGTTTGCTTTGAGGTCCTTCAAGAATAACAATGTGTTCTTGTGTAACTTGAAATCCTGATATTCCACACCTTCTGTGTCTCGCAGCTTCACCAAGGGGATGAAAGTAACCTTCATAGGGGCATCTTCATCTTCCTCGTCGTCGTCGTCGTCGTCGTCTTCCTCTGGCTCATCCTGGGCTAACTCATCTCCGTATGATTCTTCAGATTCTTCCTTTTTTAGTTGCTTCTTTGGGGGTCTTCCGCGCTTCTTTGCTGGTGGCGCATCACTCTCTTCGGTGTCATCGGTACCTTCAAAGTATTGACTTTTGGTGGATGTGCGCCGGGAGGTTCGGCGAGTGGTGCTAATGGCCTCTGCGGCACGTTTTCGAGGAGGCATTTCGGTTGTAGAAAGATAGTGACTCAAGTAAAAGGATCAATTTTTTCATTCAATGTTATTAATGAATACCTTATCTTGGAACTAGACAAAAGAAGGAGCGTTCATGTCGTCATTGTATTAGCCTGTCGCGATTACGCGTTTCAGGGGAGACACGAGGTCACGTGGAGCTTAGACAATGATCTTTATAAGTCACTTCTGTCAACTGTTACTCAAAAGTGAGTCAACTTTTGCTATGTCTTTTAATATTATCGTATTCATCATTCAAAATCATTAATAGTCAAACTCCTCTGTTATCAAACATATCACCAAGTGTCATGTGCGGATAATAACGACCCATCTGGCCTTGACCAGAGAAGATCTCGCCAACAAGATAGTAATCTCATCCCCTATCCGAGCCTCATGCCTTGATTGCTGCAAGTCGCTCTTTGCACGCAAACAATCTCTCCATGAAATCAATGTCCCCAAGCTTCTCAATCAGCCATTCGTTTGAACGCTGTTCATCGCCTTCTTCCATCATAGGACCAGCGACCTCGGCAAGAATAGCCCAGGTTCGTGCCGCTGCACGAAGACGATTCCAGTCCTTACTCATCATAGCAGCCAATTCTTCCTCCAGCCAGATGATTCTGCTGATTTTGGACAGTCGTGTACTCCAGTCGGCATCAAAAACTCCATCTTTTGCTTTCTTGAAGAGTTTCCCTTCGTACCTTTCCCAAGCTTCGATAGGAATCAAAGACCTCTCTTGCTCAATGCAGGCAATGGCCGACCGAAGACGTCTCACGGCTGCTTCCTCTTGTTTGGGTGTTGGATCTCCTTGCAGTTTGTCTAGCATGCCGAGAAGCGTTGGCTTGAATTCATCCCATTGGTTTGCAGTGACATCTTTGACCACAGTAATAACGTCTAGGATGTCAGATCGGCAGAATGGGGGCAGATGATTATCAGTGCTGGTGACTGAGGCGTCTTCCATAGGAGTGTCTTCTTCGGGGTTCGAAGGCTTGGGAAACGTTGCGCTGCTGTCCACACCTTTCTCGTTTGACTCCTGTTGTGCGTTCGTTGTCCCATTCATTTCAGCAGCCTTTCCACTGCTAGGGTTGGCCTCCTTGAGGTTCATCATCTCTTGTTTAGCTTGAATAGGAGATTCTTCATTTGCAGTAGGCTTGGCGACAGTGTTGGTGTTTGTCTGCTGTGTAGTTTTGGGTACGAGAGAGTTGTTGGCATCCTTGTCGCCTCCTTTCGTGAAAAACTTGATGCGCTTCTTGGGACTGTCCTCGGTCGCAGTTGTGGCCTTTGACGCGGCCGCTGCTTCAAGGCGCTTCTGAACCCTTCTCTTGGGGCTCTCAGGGGGACTAATCGATCTTTTCTTTCCTGAAGTCTTCTTTTTGGAATCTTTCCGACTGGACTTGTGCTCGTGACGTCCCTTCAAGACTTCGATGAACTCAAATGCAGTGTTGGCAGAATAGAGCTGGGCTCGTTTTTCATTAATTTCCATGTCAGATGAAGGTGATACCAGGCGTGTTTCGGGCTTTGAGCCATCTGTGAATTGGAGTGAGCGGTGGTTTGCTCGTGTTGGGGTAGTGCGATTGCGGTTTGAGATACACTCGACGATTTTGCTGCGCATGTGAACAAACTCGGTCTCTGGATTGAGGCCTTTCAATCTGGCTTCAAGAAAGAGAGCATGAAGAGATTCAACAAACTCGTTACTGGGTTTGGTCATGATGGGCGAGGTTATTGTTACTCAGCGTTGCGGGTGAAGCTTCTCACGATAGTGTGAGGATGAGAAGTCTGACGCAGAGAGAAGAAACGATTCTGTGTTTTGAATAAATGCGAAGTTATTAAAAATGGTAGCTGAATAGGCAGTCGTTTGCGACAGCTGCCATCAGCTGCCAACACAAACACTCCATATTGTCTACACTGCACATGATGTTAGCAGCTGTCACGCCTGACCATAGTACTGGCAGCATCAAAACGTGTGTACCTAGGTCTATAGAAGAAGCGTTATATTTTCCCTAACTCTATGTTATTCAAAGCCGTATACTATCAATCTTAAAAAAGGGAAGTGACTAGCAGGTAGCAGAAACAATAGCCTCCTAAGTCTTGGGGTATCAAAATAAATAGTCTAAGAACTATACTCTAGGAGTATAAAGTGACCTATTAATTTCGTCTCTTATGCTTCCAGCATTTTTCTGATACCCTGAGGAGTAGCCACAGCAACATTACCCAACAAGTTCAACTGTATGTAAGTTTCGACCTTTTAGACTCTAAATTGGGTGGTACTTCTCTAGAACAGGCAGACCTTTGTAGACCTTCCTTCTGAGTATAAAATGCGCATTCTCTACCACAGTCTGTTGCTCCTGCCTCTGTCGACAAAACTACCCAAGTGAACACTATCAACACTTTCCAAACAAAAGACTCAAAGTCAACTTCCATTTTTCATCATACCAATCACTGCTATCTCATCAATCACTACATCGCTCAGAAATCATTCTTCTGTAATCATGTCAGAAAAGCCACCTGCTTTCACCGATGATTTCCTCATTCGGCAATTCAAGACCAACCCTCCGGGCAGGTATACCATCGCACTTCTTGGAACTTCCCTCTTTGGGTGCTTCAAATACTACACAGCTCATGACCGCTACTTTAAGGAAAACCCTTACCTCTTGAACCTGGGCGGTAGCTTGGGAGCCGACAGGATCCGAAATGTTCAACGTCTTATCGACCAAGGCTTTGTTCGTTGTCTTAAGCAGCACCAGCCTAACCTCACGGTCATCTACCTTTAAATGGGAGACGGCGATATCACCGAGAATGGCTTGTCAAAATCGGATGCCCAAGCCTATGGCAGAGTAGTCACCAGCCTGCGAGATAAGTTTCCAGATGCGCAGATCGTCATCACTTCGTTCTTTCAACAGCATGGATTCAGCAAGCATGTTATTGAGAACGCAAATGAGATGTTACGACAAATTGTTTCTCAAAGTGGCGACGCAGTCTCGTTCTTGCCCTTTAGAGCTGATCAAAAGAAGATCATGAGCAATGATCAAATTCACCTGACTAATGATGGATATCGAAAGTGGTATGACTTTATGCAAAACGACATCGACAATCGTCTAGACGAAGAGTGGGAGAAAGAATGAGGGCCAGTTTCAGAATAACAAGTTGGAATTAAGAGAAGGGATATCGATTCGGTTTACAGTCAAAGCGTTATACAACCCATGGTTGTATCTTTATAGCGTCAATAAAGAGTAGGAAATGCTAAGGTTGTTGTCATCGAAGCAAACTGTTCATCCTCTCCATTAGTGCGCTGCGTACCTCTATCCATTGGCTCATCCATTGGAGCCAACAAATATCGCACTATGGACAGTGCTACATTGTACACCAAAAAGCATGGATTAATAGATTGATGATGGCTGTGCTTGGGATCTGACAAAGTTGAATAAGGTGGCAAAAGCATATTCATTAGACGGAGCACAAATAGGTTCAGGTCATTTCACTCATGCAAGCCAAGCCAAGCCAAGCCAAGTTGGGTACATTATTGGCTGAAAATCATCATAACATTGCGCTATCTACTTTTGCATACTGCGCATGGAAGCTCCAACCAAACACCAGAATGGTTTTATTTATGTTCTTTTCCCAAACATCAGTCTATGCGTTTACAACTCATCGTGGATGTTGTCATCCTTCTCGCTACCAGAGTCACCAGTTCCCTGGTACATCTTGGAGGTGATGGGGTAAGCGACGTTGGACAGCTTCTCCTTCTGCTCCTCGAAGTCCTCGGCGGTGGCGTCAGCGCCGTGCTCATCGAGCCACTCGTTGGTCTCCTTGACAGCATCGAGGATCTGGAGTTTGTTAGCATGTGCTTTGCTTTCGTTGTTATGAGTATTGTGTGAACTTACAGTCTCCTTGTCCTCCTCATCGATCTTGCCACCAAGACCCTCCTCATCGTTGGCCTGGTTCTTGAGGGAGAAAGCGTAGTTCTCAAGGGCGTTTCGGGCCTCGATGCGCTCACGGGTAGCCTTATCCTCCTCGGCGTACTTCTCAGCCTCGGCGACCATGCGCTCGATCTCCTCAGGAGTGAGACGGCCCTTGTCGTTGGTGATAGTGATAGACTCCTGCTTGCCAGTGCCCTTGTCGTGGGCAGAAACCTTGAGGATACCGTTGGCGTCGAGCTCGAAAGAGACCTCGATCTGAGGGACACCACGAGGGGCAGGGGGGATACCGGTAAGCTCAAACTTTCCGAGGATGTTGTTATCCTTGGTAAGAGATCGCTCACCCTCGAAGACCTGGATGAGAACCACGGGCTGGTTATCAGCAGCGGTGGAGAAGATCTGGCTCTTGCGGGTAGGGATAGCGGTGTTACGGGGAATCAGCTTGGTCATGACACCACCAGTGGTCTCAATACCGAGGGTAAGAGGGTTGACATCCATAAGGACGACACCGGAAGTACCCTCCTCACCGGAAAGAACACCGGCCTGAACAGCGGCACCGAAAGCGACAGCCTCATCGGGGTTAATACCCTTAGAAGCCTTCTTGTTGAAGAAGTCCTCAATGAGCTGCTGAACCTTGGGGATACGGGTGGAACCACCGACAAGAACGATGTCGTCAATTTCGGACTTCTTGAGCTTGGCGTCCTTGAGAACCTGCTCAACAGGCTTCATGGTCTTCTTGAAGAGGTCGATGTTGAGCTCCTCGAACTTGGCCTGGGTAAGGGTCTCGGAGAAATCCTTGCCGGCGTGGAAAGCCTCAATCTCGATACGGGTGCTCTTCTGAGAAGACAGAGTACGCTTGGCCTTCTCGGCCTCACGCTTGAGCTTACCCATGGCCTTGAGGTCCTTGGTGATGTCGACGTTGTTCTTCTGGTTGTACTGCTTGGCGAAGTAGTTGATGACACGCTGGTCGAAATCCTCACCACCAAGGTGGGTGTCACCAGCGGTAGCGAGAACCTCGAAGATACCGTCGTCAATGGAGAGGAGAGAGACATCGAAAGTACCACCACCAAGATCGTAGACAATGATCTGGCGCTCACCATCGTTCTTGTCAAGACCGTAGGCGATAGCGGCGGCGGTGGGCTCGTTGACAATTCGGAGGACGTTGAGACCGGCAATGACACCGGCATCCTTGGTGGCCTGTCGCTGGTTGTCCTGTAGAGGGGTTAGCCGGCTGATGGTACAAATAAGCTGAGCCGTTGAAACTTACGTTGAAGTAGGCGGGGACGGTAACGACGGCGTGGGTGACCTTCTTACCGAGGTAGCCCTCAGCGACCTCCTTCATCTTTCCAAGAACCATAGCAGAAATCTCCTCAGGAGTGAACTGCTTCTTGGCACCATCGACCTCAACCTGGACGACGGGACGGTCATCACGGTTGACAACCTTGAAGGGGAAGTGCTTGATATCTCCCTGGAGGGTCTTCTCGGAGTACTTGCGGCCAATGAGACGCCTGAAGAGTAGCTGTTAGCGATTGTTGGAGTGCAGAGAAGTCAGGGGAGTGCATACTTGATATCGTAGATGGTGTTGGTGGGGTTAGCGGCGGCCTGGTTCTTGGCGGCGTCTCCAACGAGACGCTCATCCTCGGTGAAGGCGACGTAGGAAGGAGTAATTCGGTTACCCTGATCGTTGACGAGAATCTCGACCTTGCCCTTCTGCATCACACCGACACAGCTGTAAGTAGTTCCCAAATCCTGTGGGAGTCGGTTAGCGGGGTCAAGTCATGATGGGAGGAATTGGGAGAAACGTACAATACCAATGACAGTGCCGTAGCTGTCAACATCGTCAGCCTGAACGGTCTGAACGAAGGCGAGAGGAGAGAAGAGGAGGGCGATCCAACAAAGGAGTCCCAGGCCAAGGGCCATTGAGCTCCTTGAACGAGCCATGATGAGCTCTGTGTATGTAGTTGCTTTACTGATTGGAAGTGCAACAAGACTTTATGATGGGAAAAGAAAAGAAAAACAAATCAATCTATGATCAAGCAAAGGCTGTCTCTTGCCTTGCACACAGATTTTATGAATTGTTGAGAGAAGGGGGTATCTTTGAATGTTGGAAGAAGCGGGTTTGAGAAGAGGAAAGGCCGACAACTTATTAAGTAAGGTGCTCTTCGGCTGTCGTGTCTCCAAAAAAAAGTTGAGGTGTCCAAATGGCACAAAAGGCCAGATTTCACATCATTCGTAGCCCCACGTGACAGGGGTCTCTTTGTCGGGAGTGGGGCTTTAGCACTGTACCTGCCGCCCTTTGGAGGTTACTCTCCCTGTAACTTTAGTGGGGGAGATACTTTTATACAGTGTTTGTAGGACAAGGCTGTCGAACCCCTGGCACACTTAAACAGTGAGCGCCTCAATCACAGGGGTTCTTTACAGCGCCACCTTGATTTAGTGATGAGAGAACATGTTGGAATATACGGAAGATCGCGATGCTTTCTATGGCTTTCTATAATCAGTGACTCACATCAGCTACTGCCTGTGATTAATGCAACATTGAGCGAGGCAAATATCAATTGATACATTAAAAGGAATGTGCAATGTTTTATCGGGATATATTCCGTGAATAGAGGAGACTTGGCCTCTCTACTCCAGATTCGAGAATATTCCCACCGTTCATCGCTCAGTGGGTCTCGTTCGGAGCCTAGCTACCGAATGTGTCCTGTTTTGGTGACTGCAATAGAGGATCCTCATATCCCTTAATATCGTGTATTACATACAAGCTCAGACACAAGTTCCCTAGAAATGACTACAATGGCTGGTCGTTAATACTAAAGTTGGGTTTCATGATAGGCCACGTTGAAGTTTATCCCGAACTGGAGATTCCTTGAATTGTGGTTGGTTGATGCTGGGTTGAAGTATCCACTACAGCTACCCTAGAACAATCAGCGTTGGACAAAGGGAAAGAACACGAAATCAACTTTAAACTGAGACAGCATGATGCAGCCATTCTTCAACTGGAATTAATTGTATATAATATCAACTTACTTCGCCCTTCGCTCTGTATCTAAAGTTCATAACAAATTTATTGTATGAAGTCTATTGCTTATGACTGTTTACTGCCTGAAGAACAAAGACAGACTGTTGCATTTCTCACCGGATATACCAAAAATACGTCAAACTCTTCGCCTACGCTTCTTGAACCCAAACAAGAACAAACAACAATTCTGACAAATCCAATCTACATCAGTTGCTTTCCTAATTCGTCAGGGATTCTATATATCTCTCCCGTCCTGTCATCTTGAAGCCAGTGTTGCTCTGGAAGTATGGTAGGGTTGGGGTCTTTGATCGGCTGGATCAGAGTTCGATGCTCATGATGGTGAATCGACAGCGTGCGTTTCGGCTCATATATCGTATGAACATGGGGGCGAACCGATTCATGCACGACCGGTTCTTGGTTGTGAACTGTCCGGTCAAAGTCCAGGCTATTCTGTAGGTGGAAGTTGGCTTCACCGTTTGTGCCGGCTTGAACTTCCTTATTGATGCGATCGAACTCGGCGTCTCGAAGATGAATGGCTTCCAAATTGTGTTTGATGTTGGCCTCTTGGCTAGCATTGGACTCGAGGTTAACATCAGACTCTTGAGATAAGGGCTCGATGTGTGTTGATGCTTTCTCAGGACCTTCTTGCCCGATTGCAAGCCGTGAGAGTTTCGCCTGTGTAGTATCGACCTCTTGGACGTATTCAAAAGGTGTCAAAGGGGCGACATCTATCTCAGGAAGCTCCAACTCTTGCCGCGAGACAGCTAGACGGGAAAGCCTTCTCTCGAGTTCAACCGCATCAGGTGAGTTGGCTGGACTTGTGTTTTGGTGTGTTGTACGGTTCGCGTTCTCCTGTTTCGGCTGATCTTGCCGAGCAGCTTCGTCCGAGGCACCATCGAAATAATCTTTGCCCTGGGCATTACCATCAGCGTTTTGGTCATCGGTGTCTTCCGATTTGATACCGGGACGTTGACGCTCTAATCTGGGAGTTTTGGGCTCTAAATCTGCCTCCAATGGCTGAACAGCTGGATGTACATCATAGCGATTTTCGGGCGCCTGTGTCTGGTGGACGTCATGACCATCTTCTCGTTCTGCCTTTGAGCTTCGACTCAAGAGACTCAATGACTTCCGATGGCGTGGCTGTGACTTTCTACTCAAGGAATTCAGACTGTTTCTGTTGCTTGAAGGCTGTGAGTCTGCACCCTCGGGTGTGTCTCTTTCTTCATCTTTGTTTCTATGGAGCAGACGTGAAGCTCGCTTCTTGATGGCATCTTTGAGACGGCCCGCCATTGGAGCCGGGTACACGTGTGCGTGGAAAGAAGGTGCTCAAAGATAATAGGATAAGGGGAAGGGATTTGCAAAAACAAGGAAGAGATCAACTGAAGTTAGGGAGACTTGTTTGTGTATTAGTGATATTACAGAATGGTACAGGCTATTGATAGGGTAGTTTGCCACGCAAGGGTCAATCGTGTTGGTTGATTGCCTACCTAGTCGGAGAAGAGCTGAGGTCTCAGATTTCTGAGGCCATCCATCAGATCAGATCAGGCCAGACCAGGCCCAGCCCGTTCCAGCCAAACTTGAATCAACTCTATTTGATTCAGAAGAACCTCATGTCATCATCAATGGGCCCGATGCATAACGCATATTTACATCATCTCACTTCAGGATCAGAAAGGTGAGCCACTAGATACAAAGTAGACGAAATTAGCAAGTCAGTTTATGCTTTCTTAGACAATACGCTTGGGTCATTTGTTTTTGCATCCTAAAGCTCGAAGGTCAACATTTCTGGTGCCCTTAACTGCTCTACTGCAATCAATCGCGATGTTAACAGCAGGTCTAGATCACGCTCCCGGGATCAACGGCGAGGATCATAGTGGAAGTTTGCGTTTCTGAGGCTCTCTATGACGCTCTCCATCGGAGCTACACTAACTAGTAAATGCTTAGCTCATGCTAATCTAGGAGCTAGTCTCAGCCACTCGCCCACAACACGCTCATCACTTCCCCTTTCCCCATGTCATGCTATATCCGAACGGAGACATTGGAGACGAGGGCATCGCCAGAAACGAATACTGTTTGCGGATCAACCTCTCTATTGGGCAATCGTACATGCTTGACCCGCCAACTTGGGTGGGTGAGACAGGGCTTTGTCACACAGGAGCAGCTGTCCCGCAAGCAATCACCGATCGTGACGTTGATAATCCCTGAACTCAGCTGAACAGGATGAAAGCTGATTGCTTGTAATTGTTTCTCTGCTGCAAGTGCGCTAAGGGAGGTTGACGTGTGTAATGATCGGTCATAAGAGGGGAACAAAGATCAAGATGCGTACCGAATGAAGATCGCGGGATGACATGAAAGGCTTGGAAGCTCATCATCATCATCATTGAAGTCATAATTACCATGTGGTCCACACACTAAAGTTTGAAGCCGGGTCTCCCTTTGGAACTCACCGTTTGGCTGAGACCTTCAGAGTCTGAACCGGAAGCTCACATACGATGACGTCCACGATGGATGAAGAGACTAGAGATACGTTTGGAAACAGTACATCGTGTGCTATCTTCAAGTATATAACATTAAATGCACCTCGAGTTGTTCTCATTTCATTCTCACTATCAACACCATCAGCCACATCATCAACAAGACAAATCAACAACCACAGCAACAGATACCCTCCAATCTTATATTCAGCACTTAAATTCAATCATTACAATGGAGAAAGCCAAGTCTGCCGTTTCTAGCTTCCTTTCCAACGATGGAAAACACAAAACAACAGTGGATGAATCTGTGAAGAGCCATGTCACTCATGAACACATCAAGCCACACGAGCATGAACAAGTGACAACTGCTCTTGATAAGGAAGTCCATCAGGATCATCATCACACCACAATCCAACCAATTGCTCACAGAGAAGTACTGTAAGTGACGCTCTGCTTAGCCCCTAGGACAACCGACAACTTGAGTCTGCCAACATGCAAGACGAATTGGTTTCGTCACTTTATGAAGGCTCCGAACACTTTTGTTTTGTCTCTTTGCACTTAAGTCTAGGGCTTCTGCTTTGCCCTGGTCAGTTCTGTTTGTCTGCACATGCTAACACAACCCAGCCCTGAGAAGCACCACCACAACCTTGCCCCTGTCCAGCACAAAGAATTTCATCATGAAAACGAGCAAGACACTCGGGCTACTCTTGAACGAGAAGCTGCTAAGTACCGAGATACTTCCGAGATGCACAGTACCACGCACTCTACCGAAGCTGCTCCAACAATGACTGGCGAACGAAGTGAGTGAATAGCACAAGTCAAACAACAACAACAACAGAACTAACAACGTTCACAGTTCATCATCATGTGCATGAGCATGTCCAGCCAATCATTCAGAAGGAAACAATTCAACCGAATGTCGTTCATACCACCATCCCCATTCACGAGACTCACCATGCTGCCCCTGTCCACCACGGAACCTCTACGCTCCCCACCAAGACTCTAGAGGAGTTCACCTCTGAGCGCGGCGGTCTTGCTGAGAGAGCTGCTCAGAAGCTTACTGAGTTCGAGGGATGCCCCAAGCCTTATCGACGAGAGCTCCAGAATGAGCAGCTCGAAGGTGACAAGAGCATGCACCTCCATGGCCACGGTGACAATTATGGCGAGAACCAGGTCCACTCTGGCCGCGAGGGACACGGTATTGGCCACACTGCTGAAGGTCTTGCCGCTGGCGGTATGGCCGGAGCTGGCGCCACTGCCGCTTCCCGCAAGCACCGTCATGGCCTCGGCCACAAGGATCGCCGTGGATCCGGCTCTAGCAGCAGCTCAATGAGCTCTAGCGACGAAGAGTCCCGCGGCTTGGGCAAGTCTTCCAAGCACAAGCACCGAGGTCTTGGTAGTTCTACCGGCACCGGAGTTGGAGCTGGTGCTGCCGCTGCCGCTGCAGGCGCCGCTCACAACCAGCACCAGGGTCGTGAGGGAGGCATTCCCGGCACTTCTGGAGTTGGTTCAGGCATGGGATCTACTGGTATGATGGGCAACACTAGCACCATGGGTGCTAATAGGGGTAGCATTGGAAACCCCAACACTGCTGGCCTTAACAAGCATCACGATGGCGGTGAGTACGACTCCATGAAGACTGGAGGTCTTCACAACGACCCTCTCAAGAACAACTCTTCTCACGTAAGTTTACATTGAGGATACCGGTACAATATGGCACGTTCTAATCATTCACAGGTTCGCGGCGACTCTGGCGTCGGAATGGAGCAGAAGAAGCCGTCTCTCCTCGACCGTCTTAACCCCATGAAGGATGCTGACGGTGATGGCAAGAAGGGACTTTTGGACTAAACTGATGAATTATTCCATCTTGATTAATACTTAATGTATGACTAGTGATAACATGCGATACATGACGTGAGTTTAGCTTAGTATTTCATTTAACATTTTCTCTAAATTACTCCTCTTTGTATCATGACACATCGATTACATACACTGCATAATGTGGTCATTCTACTCCCCCATTAAGCAAAAGCCTCTTGTGGAGTATGCCTTCTTTTGTAACGAATTGTGTAGGTTTCGTAGCGTTGAAGAAGTGCTCGATCTCATAAATCCATTACAGGCGCCCAGACAGTTGATGAGAACAGTAACTCATTCGTGGCTGAAATCATAACTTCTGGTCATTTTAATAGGAGGTTTGCTAAACAGAGTTCCGACTTCACATTGACACATTGTTATGCTACCTTCTCATACGTCCAACTTGTTAGGCTGGTATGATATAAGATGAAGCATGTTCGCAAGTATGACATACAGCTTGACCAACTTCATGTGCCCCTGCCAAGTTTACGTTCTCAGATACCACAAAACAACCATAAAGGAAAATCTAAAATTCACCCCCTCTAGAAAGGTGAAGTGCTAATGGCACATCCATAGCCAAGATCGGACGAAAGATACACCTCCTCGGCGATTGTACCTTCGTATTTCTTGCTGATACCGTTGAGAAAACTGATGACGAGAAGCAGACGAGGGCTCTCCGGGCGGCCCAGCGTCGTGGCAGTGCAATCGGCCTCAAGAGAGGAATACGATCAAGACGCATGCCAAACTAGGATCGCAGGATAACATACAAGGCCTAAGGTTACCGGCGCTCTCATCATTGCAGGTATAAGTTTTTGTTGTCTACACACTAGAAGCTCTTGAGAGCTTACCGTGAGCTGAGATCTTTAGAATCTGAACTGGAAGCTCAACTACGAGGCATCCATGGCGCTTTACACATCATGACGAAGTGACTAAAAACGCGCACTTATGAGGCTTCTCTACGTTATGCATCAACTCATGACCCTGACTGGAAGTGCGGGGTGCCTTGTCGCAGTTGGCGTCCGTATTATCATCTGTGAAGCTTATATCCATTTTAGTTTAGTATTTGAATCAGTAGAAAAGAATCCATTCATATCACTATAAACCATACAGTATAAATTTGGAACTGCGCATTCCTTAGGGCATCTGGAAAATTGGCCGATGGAAGCATTGGGGACGAAATTAGTCAATTTATGCTATTTATACCAGACTTCTTAGGCTGTTTATATTTGCAACCTAATACCTATAAACTCAACTTCTCGGTCGTCAACCAGCTGATGCCTATTTGGCAGCTGTGATGAAGCCGCGGCTGTCAACTTCACGCAAGAGTAACGTAGCCAGGAGCGCAGGCAATGACTTTCCAAGACCCATTGCAACCCAAATATGGCGTCTTGGAACTGAGAGTGTACAACCTTGCAGAAGTGTCATTGTCCTCTCTGCCTTACCTTTGCCTTTGCCCTTATAGTCCACCGTGTCGATGCCACTAAAGATGACGAGAGGGCACTTGTGTCGAGTGAACATGGCATTGAGTCGACGCTCGTCCGAAGCGAATCCAGCACCAACGCTGCAGGTAGTCGCTGCAATAATAATGACCATATCCGCCTCTTGGACCTGATCATATCCCTACTACCCTTTCCACACTCTACCACGATAATCCCTGACTGCAAGAGGTAGTCCACGGCATGCTCGTCAATAATATTCGCTGTTGAGCCGTGGATGTCGCTTGCAAAGTTGTCGACGAGTTCGTCGAACCAATTCTGGTTCGATGGATCCCACCTCGAGGGTGTACCCCAGAGGCACAAGTAATGGTCGTTGGTGGCCTTTGTCGCGCCAACTTCATGATCTAGGTCGGCGTTGGTCTTACCATCGGGGTACGGTATGCCATCGTCAGCAGACGACGATCGCATCTCTTTCGGACTTCGTGTTCTTGTTTCTTATGGACGCTTTCAATGGCGGCTCAGAAGGTGACCTCGACCTCGTGAGGGAACTTGACTACGAGTCTTCGGAACTCGCATGGGACCGGAGCCCGAACTTGGACTGAGAATAATGTGAGCTTTGCACTTGAAATGTTCGTGGATAAGACAACTTACTGGGCAACGGAAAATTTGGCCCAGCATTTAGGATATAAAAATAAGTAGCATAAGAGTATTGTATAAATAGTCTAAACTGGCCTATTAGTTTCATCTCTTATTCCGCCAGCAGATAACGTTTCTGATACTCTAAGGGCAGGAAATGAACTTAATTGTACGATCTGCCCGAAGCCTTCATCCTAATTCGAAGCGGCAAAAGAGAAGCCGATAAAGAGCCCTACATACTGATCTAGGTTCGCAGTTCGTGGGGTGGTAAGCTTGTGTCGATATCTGACACACCGAGCTTTTGTCCACCAAAGGACTCTTTACCGATCTTGACAGCACATGGCGTGGATACTGTCACTGGGCTACTTGGCTTGGTAGTCGTGCCAGCTTTAGGGCTAGGGCCGGAGGAGGAGGAGGAGGAGGAGTAGAAGGCGGCGGATGGTGTAACAAAGACTGACCCAAAAGTCCTTTTGGAACGAAGGGGAATTCTTCAAGTTAAAAAGAACCAGACTCAACGAGTACCGGTGACCAAACGTCCTTCAAATCATCAATGATTGCAGATAAAGAATGGGATAGACACAGTCTATCACGAAATGTGGAAAGAGTCTGAGAGAAAAGAGAGGACGCCGTAGAGACGTCGTGCACAAGTGAACAGACAGAATGGAGGGAAGTAACTAATGTATAAGGAATAAACTGTCTTATAGAAGCCAAACCTTGACTGTGAATCGCAAGGCAGCTGGAGATTGATGACAAGCAGGGGACTTTTAGTATATTTATTCAGCCCAAGAAGTAGTTGGTCAACCCGGGCTCATAACCACTTGAATAGGAAAAGAAGGCTTGATAGAATTCAGTCTGGCCTGGAAGAAAGAGGACTGTTTATAATGGTCCTCTGAAGTGAATGCCTTTAGGCATCATCTGTTTTGTACTTGCTGCCTAGGTCGATAGGTTGTGTGCATGTTAGGCAGTAATGCAAGCAGCAAATAACTACCTGCAAACATACGTAAGTATAGGCAAGTAACAAATAAATACAAACAGGTAGGTATAGGCAAGCTCAATAACTGAAGTCTGGTCTAAATATCACAGACTGACCTACTAATTTCGTCTCGTATGCTGCTAGTGGCCAGTTTTCTAATACCCCAAGGATCAGGTAGAGAAATGAGAACCATGATATGTGGCTGAATATGCGATGGATATGATGTAGCACTCAGATGGATAAGCACACTCAACAGTCCCAAGAAAAGTTGTTCTGAGATGAGTCATGATGGGTGCTTGTGGGTGTCAAACGTGTGTTGATAAGTTTTCAAGTGTTATATGACCAACACTGCAATTTGTTGGATATAATTCTCTATAATGGTTGATAATTGTCTAAAGCTCAACAACATGATCTTCGCTTTGGTTTCTCATGACTACTTTAAACCCAGTAACATCAAGTGAGTAGTTATAGCACAACCAAAGACAACGCATGCCCCTCTTGCATTATTGCTGTACCGTTACTAAGCAAGAATGGCTTCCAAACCTGATCCTCGTCATCAAAAGAGTAATTCAAACTGTTAATGAATCTCAGGGGCCACTCGCCGTACTCGTAATATTCCAAGGGGAGGTTGTTGAGAATTTTTAGCACCCAAAGTTTGGATGTGGCTTTCCTACAGTGGTAGCCTTTCTGGCCTGTTGAGGACCTTTTGTCGCCTTCAACTGCTTTGCGACTCATGACAAACTCTAGAACAAGCATGTGAATGATGACAAGCTGGGAAGAATAGTTTTCGGTATCGATGAACGCCGCGAAATCGTTGCTGTTGAGATGACCCAGCCCATCGTAGAGAAAGGCAAGTTCACAGTAGCCTAATAGTCAGCATACATAGAATCAAGAATACCTGGACAGTCTTACTTTCAGCAGGATTCGTAGATGCAAGAGTTGCAATCCTCTGCATGTGTGCTACATACTGAAACTCAGCAGCGCTGTGGCAAAGTGGTCCCAGTTTTTGAACACTTTGACAGAACCCTTCAGCGATGACTTTGTCCAGATAATGATTTGTTTGGTCGTCTTCGTGAACAATGGCTTTTATCTTGTCTAGATAACTCACTCGGCCAAATGTTTTGAATATTGTGTGGTCCAAGTTGACAGAAGGTTGAGTTCCGACAAGCCAGCCTGATCCAACAGCTTAGTCTATGCACAAAGAGCCGAAAGAGAAGAAACCTACAGCCTCGAACCATTGTGAGAAAGTCAACAAGTCCATCGGTCATGTATGCGGATTGAAATGTCAAATTGAGCATTGCACCAAACGCTGCTTCAACATCTTGTTGGGTGAAGCTAGCTTTTGTGAGGTATTTGTTCAGTGCACTGATTGCAATGACTCGATGTTTCAATGCGGCTTTCTCGTATCCAGAAGGTGTCAATAATCCTAAATGAGATGCACCAAGCCCAAGCATTGAGTGCAACAAAAAATCGTACTGGATTCCTGTTAGCCAGATCATGCTTACAATCTCTATATTGAACTCACCTGATGCGAAAGCTGAGAAGCTTGCTGCCACACAGTGAAGCCATCGATGGGGAGAGAAGGATATGCCTCGAATAGAAAATGTCGAAAAAAGTTTAGGTCGTTTACATCGAACATGACTGGGTCAGTCCGTAATGGCTTTGACACCGTTGTCGTTGAGGTTTGACGCCCAAGCTTGTTCAAGTACTGGCAATCTAGGCCCAGTCGATAACAAGCACCGCATTCTGGGGCGACCAGGTCACATTTCACTCTTCTCCTTTTGCAACTAGAGCAGCCTGCTCGAGATTTGGTGTGGCCTTTTCGAGGAATGGGTCGTCTTTTGGTTATGGCTGTTGAATTGTCGGCATAGGCCGATAACTCCGGAGAAGTAGATGTAGTTGCTTCAGTAGGTTGCATTACAAATTGTCAACATGCGAGGCTGTTTTCGCAATCTAAAGTAGAGATACACTCAGTTGTAGTTCAAGTTGTTTACCATTGAAGGGTTAAGGCGCGTAAGCCTCCGAACCCTGTCAGATGTTCTCCAAACAGCATCCAATCATATCATTCATATCACATCAAATTTGGCACAATAGGAAAACATCAACAAGATGAGGAATATACAGCACTTTTGATTATACATCCATGGATATCATCTACCTGCATAGCCAATCCTCAAATGACGAGATTGATAAGTATGCATTTGTTCATTGCCCATCTATATCGTCTAAAAGTCGTTGTCATCCGCTCCTGAAACAATAACGTTGTTGACCTTGAGGACCATGCGACATAATTGTGTGGCAAGCTGGAGCTGCTGCTTCTTGCCGATAAGAGGGTCAATAACAAAGGCCTCCTTCATGTTGTTGTCACCACGTCCCATGCAGTCGACACCAAGCTTGCCACGGCCCTCAGGTCCAGCCTTGACCTGTTGGCTCTTGACTTCGGCAAGAGTAGCGATAGGGTTGAGGCCACTGTTCTCGGCCAGGGTCATGGGAACGGTATCGAGAGCCTCGGAGAAGGCACGCATGGCGTACTGCTCAAGACCGGGGGTCTTGACAGCCTCGTCCTCGACAGCCAAAGAGCAGGCAATCTCGGCAGCACCACCACCGTAGACAACGCGGTTATCACGGACCAGGTTTCGCACCACGCAAAGAGCATCGTGCAGAGATCGCTTAGCCTCATCGATAATCTAGGTTTATTAGCATCTTTTTCATCCAAAGCAATAAACAGGACTTACCATCTTGTTGCTACCTCGGACAAAGACTGTGACAGCCCGGGTGTTGGCGCACTCCTCAATGACAAGCATCTTCTCCCGTGTTGTACCGAAGGACATCTCTCGGACAATGCCAGCCGTACCGAGCTTGGCTGCGGAAAGATCCTCAAATCTGGGAACTATTCGGCCGTTGGTAGCGATAGCAATCAGCTCAATCTCAGGTCCGCCGACCCATCGAACAGCTGGTAGCTCATTCTGGAGGAGGAGATGGTTGGCCTCATCATCGAAACCCCACTGGCAAATGGCCAGGTTGGCACCTGTATCCTTGATCTGCTGAATCATCTCGATAAACTTCTCCTTTTCGTAGTTTTGAAGCTTCTTGAACTCCTCGACGCTGGTGATGTCGAGGTGGTGCTTGGTCTTGGGCTTGGGGGGCTCGAAAGCGCATGTCAGGATGGCAATCTTGGCATCTCGGACTTCTGAGGGCATCTGGGGGTGAGAGAAGTCCTTATCGACAATAACACCCTTGACAAGGAGGGTATCCTCGAGAGCGCCTCCGACCTTTCCATCAACCTTGATCAGCTCGAAATCGACATCCTTTCGCTCGAGGTCGGCAACGGATAGAACGGCGTCAACGGCGATGTTGGCGAATTGGTCATGGGCCTTGGAGACAATCTTGCTGCCCAAACTTGTTCGTGCAACCTTGACAAGGTTGGAGGTCTCTTCGCGGGAGAACTCGATTGTGTCTGAAATCTTATCGAGCTCGGCAACAGCAATATCGCAAGCTTGGTCGTAACCGTCGGCAATTCGGATGGGGTGGATTCCCTTGTCGATCAGGTCGGCAGCCTGCTCCAGGAGAGCACCGGCAAGAACAACGACACCAGTGGTACCGTCACCAATCTCATCGTCCTGGGACTTGGAGAGCTCAACCAGTAGCTTGGCAACATGGTTGGTGATCTCCATCTGTTGCAGGATAGTAGCACCATCGTTTGTCACAGTGATGTCTCCATCGGGAGAGATAAGGATCTTGTCGAGTCCACGAGGACCAAGAGACGACTTGACGATATTTGCGACGGTTCGAGCGGCGAGAATGTGCGACTTGACGGCTTCGTTACCAAACTGGCGCTTCTTCCTCCCCTGACTAGAAAGATGTTAGGCGAGTTGAATCGACGGTGAGTTGGGATGAGGATCAACGTACTCTCGAACGACGATAAAAGGACGGCCTTGCTCATCCTTCATCACCGCCGCTGTTATTGTTAGCTGGGAGCCTCGATCATGGTAAGTCGTTCGTAAATACCGTTGGACATATCCAAATCTGTCCCCTCGTTAGCTACCCCTCGCCCCTCGTTGACAAAAGTGTGCAGGACTCACTTAATCCGTCCATGTTGATTATGTCCTTTCCACCCGTGGGGAGCTGTATCCGTAAGAGTTATATGGTTTACGGTGATATCGAAAAGTCCCCTCGAAAGTTGGTGGGAGTCAGGAGCTTGTATCTTTTTCTTGATCGGTCCAATACTAATCCTCCCACCTTCCAATTTTTTGAAGATTTGGGTGCCTTGCACACCGATTCGGGGGCGGGGCGGGGAAACGAGATAGTCCGGGATGGACTTCAGGGGCTCTGCTTGGAGCTAGAGGTTTGGGCTATCAACCCCGCTAAACCTCAGCGCCTCAGGTCAGGCTGGCATGGACTCAGTCTGTGACTTCATAGCCTAGGTGACCCCACCAACAACAGCTTTCTGCCCCGCCACATCTTCATCCAAGGTGCTAAGAAGGTAATGAGAGTCATACTTTTGTTTTCTTCATGCCTAAACCTTGAAAACTCTCTCATTGCGAGCATATTGCCTAGCAGACTTTATCTTTTACCTACAAATACGGCTACGAGCTGTCACTTTATCTTCTTTTCCTATACTCTCTCATCCTAAAGCCGAACCGCATTACCACACAACTATCTACCACTTGACTGATCCAGTTAAACAATATGTCTCGCCACCGAATTGTTCATACGTTTGATGCGAACGATATCGTATCTGAATTTGACGGCGAAGACTACGAAGAGGAGGGAGAAGATGAGCTCAGCCCCGAGGATCGCCAAGCGATGGACGAGGGAACTGCAGAGGTCCGCAGAGCTTTAGGGACCGAAGCGAATACAGTCACAAAGTCACAAATCGAGGAAGCCTTGTGGCATTACTACTATGATGTCGACAAGTCAGTCACATATCTGATGAAGACATTTATTGCCCCGGCACCCAAACCAGTGAAGAAAACGCCAGAAGGTATGTCAGTCTCTTTTTCTGCTTCGCGACGCCTTTTGGGTACTGGAGCAGACCACGGACGTCTATCAGGCGGATACAGCTCCGATATGAAACTTCCACCGGTCAACAAAGTTCCTGCCGGTTTCTTTAATGATATGCCATGGTTAAATATACCTCAAGAGCGTCAGACTCTCTTCGTCGAGCCTGAACGTCCCCGTGGAGGCTTGCTAGGAGGAAGCGATGGAGCTCCTAAGATGTCAAAGCTTCAAGCTCTTGCGGCTGCTAGGAAGAAAAAGACCGAAGAGAAGAAGGAGCAAGAAAAGCTCGAGAGAGGCGTCAACAATCTTTTTGTTGCCGAGTTACAAAAGGAGAATCAGCCGCCTCCCAACCAGAGACAGCAAATTGCCAAACCCGCACCGCAAGTCCAACCTGCACGCCATGAAATGGAAGTCCAGAATAAAAATACAGCCAAAGACAATGAACAAAGAAACCCAGCTTATGCATACAAGGATGAACCCATACCAGATTCTGTTCCTGAAGTTGGAATTATATCTCGGCCCAACCCATCCGCCTTAGCTCGGACGCTCTTTGGATCTGCTCCGTCCAACACCCACAGGCCTGATGTTTTTGCTATGCCTTACACATCCTCTCCATCTTTTCTTGCCCAAGCTTTCGCCGAGCCAAGTCCAGACGACATTGTGTTTGCAGCCCAGGCGAAAGGTTCGAGTTTTACAAGGACGAAATGATGAACTAATCTAATTCCATCCAGCGGGCAAACAGTCAGCAGCCAAGGCTACCAAAAAGCCCCAAAAGGAGAAGAGTAAAGATGTCTCCGAGGCTGAAAAAGATGTTGCTGGGCTCAAGATCGTTGATGCGCCACCACCTAAGAGCAAGGGCCTCGACGTTCTTAAGGAGTATGAGAATAGCTCCAACAAGCGGAGTATCAGTTTTGTTGTAGTCGGTATGTTATTTCAGTTCGCCTTTTTGTGTTTTAGACTGATGAATCAGGACATGTCGATGCTGGCAAGAGTACCCTCATGGGTCGGCTGTTGTTGGAACTCAAATTTGTTGAGAAGCACACGATTGATCGGTATCGAAAGCAGGCCGAAAAGTCTGGCAAGCAGTCTTTTGCCCTTGCATGGGTAATGGACCAGAGGAGTGAGGAACGAGAAAGAGGTGTAACCATCGACATTGCGACAAATCATTTTGAGACGGAGAAGACTAGTTTTACTATCCTTGATGCACCTGGCCACCGAGATTTTGTACCAAACATGATCGCAGGTGCCAGTCAAGCCGACTTTGCCATTCTGGTCATTGATGCAAACACTGGAGCCTACGAGAAGGGTCTGAAGGGGCAGACAAGAGAGCATGTGTTGCTCCTGCGGAGTTTGGGTGTTCAGAGACTCGTCATTGCTGTGAACAAGCTTGATATGGTCGGCTGGTCACAGGAGCGCTATGATGAGATTGCTCAACAGGTCAGCGGCTTCCTCGCGGGTCTTGGGTTCGTGTCTAAGAACATTGACTTTGTTCCGATATCCGGTCTAAACGGCGACAATCTTGTGCGTCGCACAGAAGCCGCTGCAGCATCTTGGTACACCGGACCTACTCTGATTGAGGCTTTGGAAAACTCAGAGCCGGCAACAGCACGAGCCCTCAAGAGCCCGTTCAGAATGGCCATCTCTGAAGTTTTCAGATCGCAACTTGGCACCACAACGATTGCTGGCCGAGTCGACGCAGGTTCATTTCAAATCGGCGATGCTCTGTTAGTTCAGCCAAGTGGAGAAGAAGCATATGTCAAGTCAATAATGGTTGACTCGGACATGCAAGACTGGGCTGTTGCTGGACAAAATGTCAGTGTTTCCCTTACCAACATCGACCCCATTCATATTCGAGTTGGCGATATGCTCTGCCATACGAAGAACCCTATCAACTGCAGCGATAGCTTCGTCATGAAGGCCATGGCATTTGAGCATCTCATGCCTATGCCCGTGGACCTCCACCGTGGACGACTGCATTCGGCTGGACAGATTGTATCGATTGCGGCATCACTTGACAAGGTCACCGGAGCGGTTGTCAAGAAGAAGCCTAGAGTTGTTCAGCCAGGTGGTGTGGCTCGGGTATCTGTCAAGTTAGCAGCCAAGGTTCCTCTCGAAGCTGGTCAAAGAGTTGTCATACGAAGTGGAGGTGAAACTGTCGCTGCTGGATTATTGGAATAGCAATGGATACATAATAGAACAAAAGTATATTTCTTATTGAATTATCGACTCTCGATTCTTGCTATGCCAGTTGGTAGTGAGGCGGTAAGCTTAGTTCTATTTCGTTTCCATTATCTAATCCTGGCTATAGATATGCCATTAGTATAATCCTTCTTCCTTAAAGGGGTAGATGTTTGATTGTACTTGATGGTTATTTTATTGTATCTAATTATAAATTTGGCAGGGGCATATGAAGTTAGCCTAGATGTATATTATACTTGTGAACATCCTTTTAAGCTGATTGAGCCTCTGCCCATGCTGGAACATGACGAACTGACATCTTGTTGATGAACTTGGTGTTATTGGCTTCAGAGTAGTCAGGAGCAACCAATGTGACGATCATGTTGTTAAAATTGAGACGGCATATACTCAGTAGCATTGTATAATCGTCATTTTTCTACCTCGTGCCTACTAGTTTGGCAGCTGTTTATTCTTGACGGTAGAAGACACGACGCCGGGCTGCCCCTAGAGACCCCTCGTCTGCTTCTTGTCGACATGATCACTGAGGAGACTTTTCAGGCAAACTCACCTACCTTTACAATTATTTCAAGTACTACATCGTCAGTCTGAGTGTAGTTACAGGTATAAGTGCTTGCATGGTAGTATCTATAGCTTTAAGCGAATTCTATCTCCAGAGTCCAAAAAACTGATAAATTACAAGAAGAACAAGAAAGAAAAAGAAAATATAAGTTTATGTTTCTCGGTGATAGGAATCGAACCTACGTCTCTCCTTTTCCTTACTAACTGTGGAAAGTGAATAAGCTCCGAGGAGACTTATAGGAGGAGGAGAATGCTGCCAACTGCACCTCACCGAGTTGGTTATTTTGACAGTTGGCAGTGTTAAACTAATACATATAGTTATTCCCCAGATCAGTTGTAAGCCGTGTTGCCCTGTATCATATTGACGTCCCTGTATTGCAGCGTTTGCAACGAGCAATCGACCGGCTGCCGAGCAGTGCAAGGGTTCAGTGCCAGCAAGTGCATGTCGGAAACCCAACACTATCCTGTCTGCATCCGGTGAACGTTTAATTCGCAAATCTGATTTATTCCTTTTTGGTCAGTGATCTGGAACGTTCTTGTTGGCCTGTTCAATACTAAGGCCACAAGAGAAAGTCATAACACAGGCGCTGTTACAAACATGGATCCAACACAACTTGAAAGACAGCTCGGCGGTTCTGGTCTAGACGAACATTTCTTCTATATCTGCACCCATCTACATCTTAGTAATTAACTTCTGCGAACTTGAATCCTCTCGCCGTATCCCAGCTTTCTCTCAAACAGGTCATTGCGAAGAGTACTACTTTCGACGCTCCGCCAACTCAACACTGTCTACAGACTGAACGCCCTTACATCGACCTCCACTCTTCCCCAAATATCGACACGGGTGATAAATACAGAAGATTCCAATGGCGCCGACCATTGGCAAACTCTCAAAAACCCAAAAGAGCCACTCGTGGTTGAAGGCATAAGACCCCCTTCCACCAGCAAATTCGACAACGCGAAATATACAGCGAATCTACTGAGTTAGTCTACGTGTTTTATTGGAGAGATGGATAAGGAGACCTACCATGATCAAGATACTCGAGATGTACACCGAGAGAACCACCTTCTGCCATCCTTGGGGTGCACTATCAATCGCCATGCGACCTGCTAGAATGTGGAATCGCCGGAAAACGCAGATAAACAGCGAAAATGCTACAAGCTGAAACACTAGACCAGCGATAAGTGTCTTGACTCCGATCCTCTCCATCTCCCCCTGCCAGTTGCCAGAGCTCGCAACCCCGGAACCACTTCCCTGAATGAGGAACGCGATGACATCGCATACGACAAAAATCGGTGTCAGATGTCGACCTGGAATTCTAAGGATTCGGTGACGTGATGGAGGGAGAACAGCGACGATTAGACGGCTGATGAGTAGGTAATTCCCTGCTGCGATGAGAACGGGAGCTAGAACCGTATAAGTCAAGGTCATGACAAAGGGAGTCTATCTTATTAGCTAGAGACCAAGAGGGTTTCCCAAAGGATTGTCTTACTATCTCGGATGGATTCTGGATGGAATATGTCCTGAGGTTGTAGGCAGCGACCTCTATGGCTGAGCCTACGACGACAACAATGAAGAACCAAGCTCGATATCTGATGAGAGTCTGATAAGCAAGGATGAGGAAGATGATGCCGTATATGATAGTTGCGATTATGGCAAGCGGCAAGGATGGATTATACATCCAGATCGACTGTTCGTCTGCCATTTTTGCTGGTAGATAGTCTATACTAGCTCGTTGAGAATGGTATAAGCCGGGTGCTTATAGACTACCAATTCCAGACCATCATCATCATTTACTATTTATTATATACATATTTTACAACATCGAGCTACGCAATTCATCTTTTCTGGAAGCGACGGATACGCTGCCAAGCATCAAGGCTTCCTTAATAGGTGTCTGTAAAAGCGTGAGGATGCTTATCCTAGAAAGGGGACGGATTCTGGTTGGTTGTTAAGACGTGGATTAGTTGCGTGGCCCTGGATATGAAAGCGATGAATGCGAGCTTAGCAAAGACGAAGGATACGAGAGCCAATCACGGAAAGGGCAATATTATTCTCATGAATAGATCAATGAAATGAGATGGGATCATTGATAGTAGACCGTGACCTGCATGATAACCCATCACGGGTATCTGTTACAGTAAGCTTGCACTTGCAGATCTCGTTAACATAAACATGGAAGCCAAGAAACTAGAAAGGCAACACTAAAAAATAAAGACCCTGATTTTAGCGGCATCTACTATCAGGCATCAAAGACAGGACCAAACTCTAGACTACAAACCGGCAAAAGGGATCGGCATAAGAAGAAAAGACATCCGGAGCCGAGGTGTCGTTAACTCTCACGCGATGAAGGTATTCACATGAACACCCGGCGGTTACCCGGTTCTCGGCCTTGTTGTTTATTGCCTCAAAACAAGAAAGGGTAGAAAAACCTGCAGGCACATGACGCTGTTTGTCTCCGATGTTGACAGCTGTAGGCCATTTCTCATGATCTCAAGGCGTGTGAGACAATACTGCTAGTTTAAGCGCGTTCTTTCTCGCTCGGCAGGTGTCTTAGACCTTGACTTGGCATAATTCGATTCTCGGGTCATCTTATGGAAAATTGAGGCAGATGATTGGGGTCGGTTGACTAGTGGCGCCAATATGGCTTGGTGTTGCGGCGAGTTGTCAAGAAGCGTGACCTGCTCTGGTCACGCAAAGAAGGATATTTTTTGTTTTATTTTATAGTCGATAATTTACATTAAAATACATTTTCTTATTGGACCTGTTGATCTTTTCCTTGTTCCCGAAGCGTTTCAGACATTTCAGATGAGCAGAGACAAATAACCTTGGGCTCAACTATGGGGTAATCATATCCTCGGTCTAAGCCTCAGTAAGTAGCCATGTCGCACCTAAACACTGCCACCAGCCGCAATTCTTTCTATTGGATCGCATGTGAGGATGAGAGACTGAATGATCGATCAGAAAAGGAAAACGTTCAGTCAGACGAGATGATTGTATTCGTGTCCCACCAACAAAGAGGCTTGACCGATGTTGTCAGTTTGAGGATGACTACTTCCAGTCCTCAATTTCGCTGTGAGAAGTGACTGCAAAGTTGCACTTGCGGTTGCACTTGCCACTGAGGGGCATGTGAACTGAGTCTGAATGCGGGTTTGCTTGCTTCACAATATGTACATGTGCAGATGGCGTGCATACAGGTTGAACGTGGGGAGTTTTAGACGGTGATCAAATAGGAAGTCTTGGATAAATCACCATATACATCCAGTAATGCAATAAAAGAACGAAACAGAGACTGAGAATATATAGCATATATACATATTGGAGTTATCTGCATTGGTCGAGTTGTCAATGTGGAATAGATGCAGTAAACTGAACAGTTCTGAGAATAGATAATCTAGATATTAGAGATTAACCCTACCGTTTCAACTAAATTCAGCGTTTACCCAGAGAAATAAAATCAATAATAAATAAAACAACCAATGAATAATATTCTTCTATTTAATTCTTGAAAAACGGTCAACTGGATGTAGGTACTATCCCAAGTCCCCTAAAGACCGGGTTCCCGGGCCTCACCGCCCACCGTGGCCACTGTAACAGGCCTATTCCCCGGTCATCTGCCTTTAATATGCTGAGTTGTTCAACCCCCATCACTCAGTTTGGTGACTGACTGTCACTCCAAATACATGCACACTCCCTCCCATCCCGACACCATCTTTTGATGATTATCAAAGAGCCCTGAACCTAGTTCCTGTCAATTAATGCAATAACTGACCCGCCCTATACCATATCCCTTCTCCCCGGAGCTTACATGAGACAAGCTCCATCGCTCTCACCGGATCTTTAAACTACAGCGACTACAACACAAGACAGCACATTGTTGACCTCTCTCATATGCAAGGAGCCGTTTCTGAGGCAGGAAAAAAGAAAGAAATAATTGTTCTCCTATCACAATGCCAGTTCATGGCTTGCTTTGTCCTACATGCGATGCGACGTAATGACCAAGCCCTGTCAAGTGTCATTCATTGAATTGATAACCTTTACTAATTCTTCATTTATCTTATGCTATTTTCCACTTCCACTGTAAAACAAGTTTGACTGACTGATTGCTTGTTTTCCCTTTGGTGCCACGACATACATCACGGCCTCGTATTTTGTGTGATATGATATACACCATAATCTATCACATTTATTAATACCTGATTGTTTGTCGTCTGATTCATTTTTGGGCTTCTTGTCTCTGGTATCTGCTCATCTCGAGACTATCAGGCAGCATCGATCAGAAACCCCCACCCAATGAATTCGACTCGTATCATGGCCAAGACTTCAGCAGACTGACAGATCTCAGCCACGCCGGGATGCACTTTCAACTTTAGCCTAAAGACCCCTTGCTCTGATCCCTTCAGCTACAGCTATTCTTCAAGTTACGTACCCTTCACCGACGTCGATCTTGTCAGCCACAGCCACCCCGTGACTCTTCCCAAAGTGGCATCTTCTCTCATCCCTCAATCTTGATCTTGTCTTTTGCGGTAGGGAGTAACTTCCAATGATCTTGTGCCATCTCCTCACGAGAGCCAAATAAACCAAACGGACTCTTTTCCGGAGCGGCGGCGGCTTCATGCATCGAGTCACCGTTCGTACTGCAAGCAGAGGTCAAATGAAACAAGCAAAGTCGATCTTGGGAGGCGGGTGTGACCGCAGCCGATAGTTTGCCCTGTTTCCTTTTTGTGTAAGACAGCAGTAACAGACAGCCAGAAGCCGTGTATTACCCTTCTATCGAGTCAAGTCATTTATTCCTGTCCCGGCTTATGTGGATGTCGTCCTCGTAAACTCATGGTGTTACTCTGCTTGCGTATGAGCACAGGCAGGTAGTGACTGGTTTTTGACAGACATAGACAGAGCACCAAACGGTAGTAAGTAGATGTAGTCAACCCCTCGCGAATTGCCCCTGAAATGGATGGATATGAATTGACTTGAGTTTGTTCTTGTGTCACGTCATCCAATGCGTTTGAGAGGATGGTTTTGGGGCCATCACCAACCTCACAACACCATTGATTTCTTTTTGACTCATTATGAGAAGAACTCACATAAATTGTGACTCAAATATAATTAGCTTTACGGTTGATAGTATGAAACATTAAATTAATGGATATTTTTCGCTAAGAGATGGGATTCACTCTCGATAGGTAATGACGCGCTGTGAGTCACTTCCCAATTCGAGTTAACAGCTAATTTCTTGCTCACGTAAGGAAAGAACGACTCCAGCATGTGGGGTAGCTCGCCACTACAACAACATCACGATAAAAGCATCTACTTCTCGCTGCTTCCACTAAACAAATTCATTCATCTCTGTTCAAAGTGCCAGTATTTTTAGGCCAAATATCATATAGAAACTCGCAATTCTTTATTTGCGTGGCGTTGGGCATTTGCTTCGACTACATTCGTTTCAACTTCAATTACCGCCAAAATACTACTCCCTCAGCAACAGCAGCAACCCACTTCTAAAAACGTCATGATTCCTACAAAATCAAAACCAGATTCGCCGCAGACCCGTAAGCAGGCTGTGGCTGAAGCCTCGTCATCCCGTGTCCTTCCCAAGCCTGTGCCAGAATCTCAGGCTCAGGATCCCAGGACATATCAGATCGAGCAGTTACGCCGACGATACTCACCAAAGGAAACCACCGCCCCAGATGGTGCAACTTCACTAGTCTTCAGGATCAAGCCCTCAGATCCCGATTTTCCATTCGAGCTATCCGCTCTTGAGTGTGATATCCGTGTTCCCCAGGCTTACCCGGATGAGACGCCGGTGTTGCATGTAAAGAACAAGGACATCGAGAGGGGTTTTAGTATCAACATCGAGAGAGGATGGGACTCACTTGTCGAGGAGAGGCCCGGAGCCACCTTGCTCGCTTACACTCGAGAGTTGGACAAGAACCTGGAAAAGTTCCTATCTGAGCAAAAGGCCGAGACAGTCAAGCTCATGACTTTTAGAGACACGAGGCATGTGGAGGCACAAAAGACTCAGACAGAAGAGCCAGCGCAGCCGTCTCAGCCGTCTCAGCCTGCTCCGCCAAAACCTGCTCCGCCGCCTGTGAGGTACGTTCCAGAACCGTCATACACGAAGGATGAAGTCGCCGCTGCGAAAGAGCGACGGGCTGCCGAGATTCGCCAGCTCGAGGCACGTATGAAGAGGACGCCCGAATACCGCCGTTCACCCGACGGTGTTGTGTATACTTTACCGCTAGAGCCACAGAAGCGTTCTCAGCTTCCACCAGGATTGCAGTCTGTCAGAAGTCTTCATCTAATCATTCCTTTGCTTTACCCCCTGCAAAACCTTCGCATTCAGCTCAATAACGTCGAGCCCCAAGATGCGGAGCCTGTGGAGGACCTCTTTTGCGAGAAAGCTGAGGAGCAGCAACATATGTCTCTCATGAGCCACCTGAACTACCTCGCACAAAACATTCATAAGCTTGCCAAGCAAGCACAGGCCCAGGTACCCAAGGTTGAGACACCTGCACCAGCTACCGAAGATGAGTCTCAAGATACAGAGGAATCCGCGCCAAAATCTGAGAATAGCCACATTCAGGTGATTCCACGACCCCCCGAGTGGGGTTACGCTGTTGCAGACGACGAAGAAAGCTCTAGCTCTGATGAGACTGATGATGGTGGCGCTGTGATAGAGAACGAGGAAAAGGAACCGCAAGTCTACATGCCAGGTGAAACCCCTGAGCGTGGCACTATGTTGTCATTTCCTTCGATTGAGTTGCACGGTATCGAACTCCTTCAGCTTGCCATCTTGGGCATCAGCATCAAGTGCGAGCGATGCAAGACAGTGAACGAAGTCACGGGTCTGCAGCCCGACGTCGAAAAGACGTCGAGCTGCAAGAAGTGTGCTGAAGCATTTGCCGTCAAGTTTCGACAAACGCTCATCCACGAGAATTCTACACGGGCTGGATTCCTCGATCTGGCAGGGTGCAAGGTGGCAGACATGTTACCTAGCACGTTTGTTCCTACTTGCGGGAGGTGCTCTACCCCAGCCCCAGGTCTCGTCTCAGTACGAGGATCATCAGTGACAAATGTCTGCCGAGACTGTCACGGTCATTTTACCTTTAAAATTCCCGAAGTCAAGTTCTTGTTCATCACCCCGGGGTCTCGCCCCCCACCAACCTCCGGTCCTCGTCGGAAACAAGAGAAGCTTGGTCTGCATGCGGGAGACCAACTGCCCGACAAGGGTACATGCTCGCACTACCGAAAGTCATACCGATGGTTTCGCTTCTCATGCTGCAGCCGCGTACACCCCTGCGACAAGTGCCATGACAAGCAGGAAGACCATATAAACGAATGGGCCAACCGCATCATCTGCGGCTGGTGTAGCCGCGAGCAGAATTACTCGTCGGCTGTCGAGGCGTGTAGATTCTGCGGTCGCTACCTGATAGGTAAAAAGGGAAGGGGTTTCTGGGAGGGTGGAAAGGGAACGAGAGACAGGACGACGATGAGTCGGAAGGATCCGAGAAAGTACAAGAGGATTGGTACTTCGGCGGCCAGAGAAAAGTAGCGTTTGGAGGAGGACTATTCTTGGCGAGGTTTTTGTCACAGTTGAGAAGCGCCAGGCTGATGGCTCAGCGTATAGTAACTAATGGCTGAATAGTATAATAGTACGAGAGAGTCGCTTTTTGTCAGCTTGAATGTGACCCCAAATCAGCTAAACCACATGCTCACTGCCACTGGTCCTTTGATCTTTCCAGCGGTTACAAGCCGCCATAGAGACTGTGATGTTCTGTACTCAGTGTGAAATACCTGCAACCACTACAAATAACAAAAGAGAGGTTTCGCAAGAAGCCAAGAAGTTCACAATCTTGGGACATGTGAAACGTGGGGTGGTGGGGGTCATTGTAGTCCCTTTGTGCGATCCTCTGGTTTTATTCTGATCGGTATCTCGCTGTAGACGCGATATGATTTGAAGATGGGGGCTGTAATGGAGTGTCACATTGAGTTACGAGGTGTTTGTGTGAGTGCGCGTGTGGGAGTAGCAGTTATCTGGCGGCAAAGATTGAATAAATGGCTTGCGAATAAGGAATTAGGAATTGAATTAATTAAAAATGAGAATAACATGATTGAATGGGTATTTGTCCCATTCAGTTATGAGTTGGAATGGTGGTTGCAATAGCGAATTTCTGATCGAGATGGAATAAACCGTTACGATACTTCCCCAGGTACGTCAATCACGCAATTATTGACCATTGTCCGTAATCATCACAAGATACGTAAATAGGTATAGAACATGGTTTATCGATGAGCTAGCTTCCACCCTAACATGCGGATCAAGATTGGGTTGTCATGTGAAGATGCAAAGAAAAAGACAGATAAAATACCGCAGAGTTTCTGCGATATCGGATACAGTTTTGTCTTGGAAACCCAAAAGACAGCTGATTTGAGTTGAGCGGCTTCGGCCGTGGGATGGCAGGGAATCAAGTTGAAGGCGTGGGATGTCATCAGATGTCTTTGATAAGAAAATAGATAATAATAAGGTATGATACATTTTACTACCTACTGTGGGAGTGAGGTGTCAAGAATATGCAGGTACCATGCTGCCCAATGCCAATATATTGTGAATGTCACGTAGCTTTCCGTGCCATCCCAAACTTACATACTATTAATCTATATACAGCAACAAACCTGAAGCCATCGTCAATCAAGTGATTCAATAGGATATTGACGTGCCAAGGCGTATCAATTTACCCCACAGTCGTTTTTTTTACTCTAATTCAGGGATGGACCCTTGTTGGAACGTCACAAGGCCATGAAGCAATTCCTTGAATTCGTCCCCTTTAAGTGTTTTGACGCTAACTGTCATTCACCAACGACCATTTGAGACTGGATCAACGTGACGTGTGCTGGTACCTGATTAGACTGATTCTTTGTCTCATGTCTCGATTGATGAGCATCAAACATGAATAATGAGAAAGGGGGAATGAGAGAAAAGAGGCGTTTAGAAATGCGCGGATCAACGGCGGAGACGCGCCACGGACCGTCAGCCGTCCATCACGGGACCTAAATGTGGCTGGGTAGGGATAGTCTCAGTTATATAGTGTTTGCTAACTAGAGCCAACTGAGTTGGAAGAGTTGAGTTTGTGTTCGGAATGAAGATACAGTATCCGTAAGTATGCATATGAATGGCCAACTTGAGTCCGTCGTAGCATTATTACAATCTTTTGGCACATTCCAAGCCTCTCTTTGTCTACGTATGATCAAGATTATGATCAAGGACATGAAGCGACCAAAGATAAGAGACACCTCGGCTCGGTCAACGTGGTTAGTTAGTCTTATCACAAACACTTAAACGACAACAACGGCGCCGCCGAGGACATCAGACACACACCCTTCGCACGTGCACGCCTTGACCTTTCTTCTTTCTTTTCTTCTTCTATTCCGCGATTCATCTCTGACCATCTGATCTAAATAATGGCAGCCCTTGTCTCATGCCATGCCACTAGCAAACAAAAAAACGACTCAGACACCCTCCGCGGGTCCTCTTCCGGTGCCCGGGATGACCCCTGAATGTGACAGACAAGGGGTGTCTAGCCCTTCTAGAAGGTCAAAGCCTGGATGTGAAATTGAGCTTTGTTTGTCAATTGATGCGCAGTCATTTAATTAATTTAATGGAAAAAAGAATAATAATTGGTTCTATTAAATTGGTTTATTGTTTGTCAAAACGGTGGTCAATGAAAGGTAATTTCTTCCCAAAAGGTGACCGTTTCCTGTAGACTATTGATTGATTTGCTATTGTTCTTCATACTGTAGACATGTGACTTCACAAACAAAGAGTGAACCGTACGACTACATCATTATTGAGTCTTTGTATTCCTGCTTGTGAGCTGTGACGGTGGAAAGGTGACATATGGTATGCTCTACCGTTTTGGCCACAGGAAAACATGTGAAAAAATAGAAAAATAATAAAATGGCACTCAAAAAGGAATCAGGCTAAAAACCAAGAACCCCAGCATTGATTAATTGATTGACACTCGCCTATGGCACCTCATCTGATGATATTTGCCGAGCTACATACGGATACAACAATGAGGAATCGAGTCCGGGACTCTAGACCCTTGATCCCCGCTATAGCTACTAAACTATCATTAGGCAACTCCCTTCCCTTGTAGGTATCATCAAAACCGTTCAAATTAACCCCGGCGACAAAGACCAGGGCTTCCAAAGCTTGGTAACGAATAGGCGAGTGCCTAAATGCTTCACCTGATACCTGCCATAGGATCTTCCCAATCTCGTTTACCGTCCTCGGCAAAAAGAGATTGAAAGAGAGGCGTGGCCGGTCGATCGATGGGACGCAGACTCATCTGGAACGAACGAACCCTTGACCTTGACTCTGGTCTCGGTATTGGAAGTTCCCACAGACTTGGGACGAAACGAAAGCTTCGTGGAAGCAAGGGGACTTGAATTGGGCATCTCTGACCGAGACAGGAAGCCTCCGGGTTACTTCTTCGGGATTACCAGACCAAAACAACACCTCCGAACGTACATAGCTCTAGGAGCTACCGGACCGTCAAGATTCAGGCTCTGATCTCAACCGTGGCTTCAACCATGCCCAAAACCGGCCTGCAACTGCATCCCGGAAGTCGCTCTCTCGACCCGAATTCTCCTCTCCCTGCTCTCCATCCCTGGTCTTGCCCTTCTCCTTGGGTTCCGAGTCCCTGGGTAGCTTAGGACACCCTGCAAAGAGACAAAGGATTAGACCTACACCGGCCATGATACTCCCTGACATCCAAATCTTCTTGAGCGCCTTTGCCACAGCCATGTTCATGAAAGTGCGACCAAAGCCTCCACTTTCCATCGCGGCTCTCATCAGCTGCATGGCATTGTTGACATCTATGCTGCCCAGACCCACCTTCTCCAGCTCCTTGGCGAGCTGAGTCGAGAAGATGGACATTCCAATCGCGATGCCCAGACACTGACCCATGGTGCGCAGCACTAAGATCATGCTGATGCCATGACCCGCATCTTCCTCGTCGCATGTGGCTTGTACGCCAATCGTCATGACCGGGAAGATGAGGCCCATGGCGATACCCATAAACATGGCCAGCACCAAGATGGTCGAGGTTGAAGAGTCTTTGTCCAGGATCGTCAGAACTCCAAATATGGTGACCAAAAGACTCCAGCCGCCGACCAAGAACCCCTGATACTTTCCTGTCTTCTGCGCTACTATCCCTACCAATGCTGCCATGGGAGCAACAGAGATAGTTGCCGGCAAGGCCCATACTCCTGTCATGAGAGGAGTTTGGGACTTGACGCCCATGAAGTAGACAGCCAGGTAATACAGCACCATCCACATGAGAAGACCATGCAGCGCCGCCATGCCAAGATGGCAGATGGTAGACCACTTCCGGAAAAGGCCTCTCCGAAACATCGGTCTCTCGACCTTTTTCTCATACAGCCTTAGAGCAATGAAGGCAAAGAAAGAGATAACAAAGGGTACAATGACCGCTGCTGACTTCCAAGGGAAACGAGAGCCACCCCAAGTCAACGGAAGTACCAACGAAACAGAAGAGATAATGTAGAGCAAGATACCAATCCAATCAATGTTCTTGATGTCACGACAGTTGCGCCGGTGTTTGTCATATCCCATAAGACCCCAAGCTCCGATGAAACTCAGCACAAGAAAAGGCAAACTTCCCCGAAAGATCCAACGCTGTGGTCAGTCAGTAAATGCGTATCCAGACACGATGTCAGGGGCTACCTACCCAAGCAGTGCCTTTGCCCTGAACGATAGCACCTCCAACAAGAGGACCGGCAACCGTACCCAAAGCCCAGGAAGCCTGCTGATACGCCATGGATCCAGAACGCTTGCGAACAGAGTATAAGTCTGCCATCACCAGACCCGACAGTGCCTGCGGTCCTCCAGAACCAACACCTTGGATGGCGCGACCAGCAAGAAGCATCACACTACTATTGGAAAAACTCGAGATCATGGATCCAGTCATGAAGAAGACCAAGGAAGCGAGGTAGGCTGGTCGTCGACCAATGACATGGGCGAGTTCGGCAAAGATGGGCTGGGAGATCGAAGAAGTGAGCAAGACGGCTGAGCCCATGCTCAGGCTCATCGAGAATGAGGCATTGAGCTGATGAGCCATGGACTTTACTATGTCAGCAATGGTTAGGGGGTCTTTTGCGAGGGACTTACAGGGAGGATGACACAGATAGACGTTCCATCAAAAGCTGAAATTATCGTCACCGTGTTGAGAACGAGGATAATTCCCCGTCTTCGCCAACAACACATCTCTCGCACCGACTCTATCTCGGCTTTTTCGATGGTTGTCGGGTCAGAGTCGGCGTCTTGGGCCAGCATGGGCATGGTGCCCTTACCAGCCTTAGACTTGGACTCTACGTGTTCGCCTTGGAAGGTTCTGTTTGCCATCTTTGATTCAGTTAGAGCTTGTCCCTCTTGTCAAGATGGCCGAAAAGGGATGGAATACAGGAAGGAGGCGGAAGAAGGAAACAAGGAAAGGCTCAAATAGTCCATCCGCGCGACATCAAAGCTTTTTGAAAACTATATATTTATTGACTTTCTATTGGGAGGGTCTGGCAATTTCTCATGGGGCAACTTGAAGTTTATTCGTGGCCACATCTTATCAAAAAGCATACTGAGCTCGACCACTCGAGAACAAGACAAAATTTCCCACATCTTCCCAAATTTCCCTCCACGCTTTTTGTCGCTGTCTGCCAGCCACTGCCCCCAATGGAGTTCCCCAACTGCCAAATGCTTCTTGCTAGCTTTCTGTTGTCCAGTGTGATATACTGGAACGCGTACTTTATCGTCGATTACCTCCTCAGGAAGCTCGCACCAAATGCCTATCGCCGGTTGGAAGAAGACGAGCTTCGTAAGCTTGTTCCTCTGATATTCGCGATCCTTCGGGCATTCTTTGGCCTCACAGTTACCTTTCCATCATGTATCGTCGCTGCCGCGACAACACCATGGGGCGTCGATCGACCCCTGAACTCTCATGGTCAATTCTGCGTGGTATCTCAAGCCGCTGGATGGGCCAACGAACTGGCTCTGATACGATTCTACTCTTTTGAACTCTTCGTCCATCACATTGTCTGCCTCCTTGTCACGTCGAACGTTATCTTCTCTCCAGCGGTACACCAAATCAAGCCTTTGTACATCTACTATGCATCACTGGTTGGAGATGTTGGACCAGTCTCTGTGACCATCCTCCGATTACTCGGTTACCGCTTACAAACATCCAAGCCAATGTACTGGATTTCTCTTGCGTCGACCATGGTCTTGATATTTGGTCGTATCGGGTGCGCTCTTTACACTCTCACCCAGGTCATGACAGACCCGTATAACTTCACTGACTGGGCGTGGGTTCTATCAGTTCTACTCTTTGGCTCCTACTCGATCTACAATGCGATCCGTAACTTGCAGCGACTCGGAATCATCAAAGTCGATCCTGATCGGTACAGTGTCATGTACTTCAACAAACTCAACATCCCCATCGCAAACATGTATCTGGCACTTGCTTGCAGTGTTTCATTGCTGTCGACTTTGTTCCTGTACGGAATCTACCTCGATCGACCCCTGAGGATGGGAGAAACACACCTCATCTCCTTGCATGGACTCATCGCAGTGGCCTTCGGGCTGACCGGGGCCCTGTTACTGAGAATAACAGACATCAGCGACTCCCTCCCGAATCCATGGGGGAAGTTGTACGTTCCATCTGGGGTCTTGATCACTAGTCACTGGGCTAGCTTTATCACTCGTCATACCACCTATGTTGACCACGATATACTCTTGGCGTCGCTGGGTATCAGCGTTCCTCTTTTCTTCGTATTCTCTCGAGCGGCTCAATACTACACAGTCAAGGACGCCCTGGCAATATCTGACGAGAAGCGCCCCGTGGATAGTGGTTACAAAAGACTACATCTAGAATCCATCATTGAACATGCCACGATATTCCTCCTGTCATTGGGCTTCTCGGCTTTTAATGGTACAAGTCCATCGGAAACGGCACGCCTGGCCATTTGCGCTTCTCTGATACTACAGCTCAGAAACCCAGGGGACGATCCTGTGTCTGGTGCAAATGTGGACAAGATGATAAGTACTTTGGTCTCTCCGACCAAGCTGGTTACATCTAGGCTTTTCATCATTTCCATTACTGGATGGTACGTTGGAAGCAAAAGTGACCCTATGAAGGCTATATCGCCTCGTATGACTCTTGGTGCGATTGTTGCCATGGCTTTCTACATATCAAAACCCTTGATCACATCCAAGCCATGTCAGGGAATTTCGGCACCTCGCAAGTCCAGGAGAACTCACACCATGACGCTCCTCTATGTCTTCTTCTGTACCTTGCAGGTTTTGATGGTTTGGGAGTATGCTGCCTTTGAAGAGGGCACATCAAAGACCAGTCTTGGATTCAAGAACTTCTGTTCTGTTCTGTCAGACCCATTCACTTGGGTAGGGCTTTTGCACATGGCTTCACTACCTATTGTTGTTCTCAGGGGGGCTAGTGGACAGTAAAGTTGGCCTCCTAAGTCTTAGGGTACAAAATAATAACTAGTCTAAGGAGCATAAAGTGACCTACTAATTTCGTCTCTTATGCTTCGAGCGGTCAATTTTTCTGATACCCTGGGGTCAACTTCCTTTGAAGCACTTGTTTTGTCTCTACCTCATACATGGAAGCTCAATCTTCATGCTCTTTGGCTCCTCTCAGGATAACTCTACGGTTGTTGTGACGATCACGATGTCATTCGACTTGCTAACTATGTCAACTCGGCGATCTTGCGAGTCAGAGTTGAGATATCAAAATATGATTTACGGCGCCAATCACCTGAGGGTCATGTAAATGGATATCACCAGGACTGATTTGACATCATTGTTGATCAACGGATCCTGCCGTGATGTAATGGACGCCTTTGGCGACCCGATCCAGGACAAAGTTTAGGAACAGAAAGCCACATCAACTGGAATTGAACGCCAAGTTAGTCTATTGTCTTTGGTTCCTGGCTAGTGAGGAATGCATCATCCATCAACTGACCTCTGGTCAAACGCTTATATTGTTATGTACACGCCTGAAGCTGATCGCATGTGGCTATTCCATGTCATGATATTATCCAGGAAAGGGTTGTGGAGTGAATATATTAGAAGACATCTCTCCAGACTATGAGGCTGATTTCATTGTCGATCAAATCGATATGGTTTTGGGTAAAGTGACACATGTATGGGATATGACGTGAAGTGTTTTTGTACGGAGATTTAAATGTCGTCTGATACAGATACAACAGCCAACCCCCGTGGCAACGTGATACACAAACGCCTATTCAATATGAGTACAACTTCGTCATTGCAGGAATAGGTCAAGTTTGTAACGGTAAATGGGAATCTTTTCCACAATCAGCACCGTTAACCTGAGCATTCCTTGGCACGCATGCTTCGACTTACATAGACATATTGTAGTCATGTGAAGCTACATGGGGGTCATCGCGGGGGTCTTGCCTGTTTCACTCTTGATAACCGTTACATAACCAGTTTCAGCTCAAACAATTAGATCAACTAAACCAATATTGAATACATATGTCTCTGATCTATTAAACTTTGTGTGACTGACAGTTGTTGGACCCTCTGACATCATTTAGAAATCCTTCCTTGACCGAGGTGCTTGAATGTCCATCACGTGTAGGAAACCATCTAGGCTACCACAGCAAGCACAGATGCTCTCTCAACATCAGATCAGACTTTCTGGTGTATCATCTTACATTCCTATCACATTTTATTGTATCCAGTGACTGCCAACGCATCGCACCGACTCGGCCCGTCTGCCACCCATTCCTCATCTCCATGTCCTACGGGCCGTCGATCGACACCTTTATCAGGATGAATAGGAATAGACTACCCAGGCACAGCAATTCGAAAGGGTCTCATTTTCATATCCCAGCCCCAGGCCGGCGGATCAGACCCTCAATGCATCCGCATGAATGAGATGTCAAGCTTCCCAGGGTTCTCCGCATCACCAGGTCTACCCCCATCCTGGCTCATGCATTGAGGGGCGACCAGAACCATCACATGTTGCCTGTCAACTCCGAAAGAAGAAGCTGTCATCTTAAAAGGAACGGCTCTTACAAGTCCAGACTGAGTAACTGAAGATGACACGGCCCCGTTTCACTCAACGGCACAGTTTCTCCGTCGGCTATCACCCGTTTGCTTCCCCGGACATGGATGTTTGTTTCTGCCAATTTCCGACTCTTTGGGAAGTTGGGGAAATCCGGACGAATTTGGGGGTTTGTTCAACCCGACCGATTGTCTGCAATGAGAAGTAGGGTGTATCAAACTTAACAGCGAAGCAGAACAAAACATCCAGAAAACCAATGGCCCGGAAGCTCCCCGTGCCATAATACCGTGTCAGCTGGCTCAGAGCCCTGCAGGCATCATGATATACCCGATAACCTGGGGTAAGATGATGGATTTTAATATCCAGTCCAATCCAATCTGCCAACACATGCGCGAGCTGCCTCTCTAAGCCTCGGGGCGCAGGCAGATGCTCAACTGCTGATTAGCAGATAAACGGCCATTAGGCAAAGGTGCTGTGAATCGCGCGCATCATCTTGGAGATTGAACATCAGACACTGCGACGAGCATCAGAAGACACTCTCGGCTACACCACCATGCAAAATCACAGCACCTTTATCAAACATGATGTACAGGTTACAACCGATGAACATGCTTGTTTCTCGATTTACAGCAACCCAGGCCAGTGGTAATTAATCGTCCGGCCTAACAAGTAAGCTTTGGCGATACGGTTGTCATGCCCGGCATCGTCTCAATATCAAAGCTTCAATTCGGTCTTTTAGACAAAAATAGTAAGGCGACTTTGCAACACATGACTGTTAATTTAAAGTTGACGATGCCACATCTTCCAGCTCGTAATAGGCGACGCCAAGGCGTAATTAATGTCCTCTGCCATTGTTCCATCAACCCCCAACCACGGTTCAATTACCGGCCGCGGCACAGCAATCGATCGTATTTTACTACTTACAACAATAAACTCTCGGCAGCAGACAAAAGGGGCAATGGTTGAATGCGGAGAAGTTGTCGTCTACCACGTGCTGGCTATGCTACCGATGTCTGTCCAAGACTCGCCTCCGAAGTCATAAGCGCTAGAGCGTGCGTTAGAGTGAGAAGTTCACTAATGACTGATAACTCATTAGCCTTAAGAAGGTGATGATGGTGTTCTCAAACGGGCATCTTCTGTCGGCATCCAATCCGATGCGGTTTGAAGATTTAGAGAGGGCTGTTCAGCCGCGTTCTAAGAAACCTTCAAGTCCCTGTAGCCTCCCTCAAGTCTATTGTTTGTGTCTTTGTTGAATTGTTGTCAATCGAGTGACAAACTATCCCATCCGTGCAGTACAGTAGCTCAGATCCCCCTCATCGGCGACTCCGTTGAATCCATAAATCCGCATCTCTGTATCAGCCCACATGGCAATTATCGACAATACAATGGTGGAGTGGATGCGTATTTTATCAATTTCGCCTCCTCGTGGCTAGGTACATGACACAGCACAGCCACGAGACTTTCACGTGTCAAGATTGTCCAGATGTCACTTTCGGGGGTCAGTCGAGACGAGGTATCCATAGCCGGTTAAGCCAACCTCCAATCACAAAGCCATCATTGTCATGTTGCTGCCGGACCGACAAAAGGCGGCCAGATTATCGAAACGTCAGTGGCCGTTCAAACAACAAGAAAAAGGGCCGTGAAATGCACGAGGCAAAAACGGTGATGAGAGAGGGTCCAAAACACAGCAATGGCTTTATTGAGGGGCCGAGGATCGCCGTAGAGTCGCCGGCAGCCTGTTGGCTCTTATCAGTGGAGTTGAAGTTGGAGAAGGGGAAAAATAGAAAAGGAAAAAAATAAGAAAAAGAGTGGGTTTATCTGTATTAGAGAGGAGTTCTCCCGTTTCACTGGATCCATTCTGGATTTGCAAAGTGTATGTATTCTGCCATTCTGTTTGGTTCACTTCAGGGCTGGCGGAGAAGAAATGATGCAGCATGTTGACTAGGTTTTTGCTGCCCAACTTGAACCGTTTGTATTAGAGTTTACAAGGCTGATGACCAGGGAGTTCAAAGTTCAGTTTTGAGATGCGATATACGTTCTCCACTAAGTCTGAACGAGGTTTGACTAACAACTTGAACCTGGATGAAAAGAAATGAACCAAGGAGGTGGAGATGTGGTTCGAGTTAATAGAAAAAAAAAGAAGAAAAAAAAAGAAGAAAAAAAAAGGATCACTGAGTATTTTAATTCGTCAAAGGAAGATCAGTACTAGTTGATGTTACATTCTCACTGTATAACTTGTTGAAGATGCTGCGTCATTTCTTGATTTCTCCAATACCGTGGATGACTGCCATTTCAAGCCTCAACGGCTCTTAATTAGTTCTTGTACCGCGTGATTGAACAAGATTGACTGGTTTAATGGATGGTAGCATGGGTTGATAGCAAAAAAGATGGTGTGAGCCAGATAAAAAAGAGAAGGAATCTTCCTCTCCATGTGCGGGAGAAGACTTCTAGAAGGTCTCAGCTTGAGTCGTGAGTGATTGGTCGGGGCACTTCGGATCTGAACAAGACACACCAGACTAAAAAATATGACCAAACCACTTCTAGACAGACAAGCCTGAGGTGTCGATGTATTCGTTCGCGCGCTTGTGTCACTGGTAAATGGCACTAAATGAATTCCGACAGCAACCAACACGAGCGCGGCTAGACCGAGAACTGTGTGCAGCAGCATTAACGGTATGTAAGGTGGAGTCGGCAAATATCCGGGCACATTAACCGTGGTCACCGTCCGAATACATTGCCGAGCCGAACTGAACTGGCTGAACTGACTGAACTGAACTGAACTGAGCGGCCGGTTTGGAAGTAGACGGGCAATGTCTTGTGTCTCGTGTCCTTGTGTCATGGTTAGAATGACCTCTATCGCAACATACCGTTTGCAACACTCAATGATCGACAACGAAACAACGCATCAATATCGGCATCAACAAAGCAAAACGAGCACCTCGTGATACAACACTTTAGATGCAAAAGAAAACAAGATCTGACATTTTAGCCACGCGATTGGGCAATAAAAAAACCTGACTCCAAATCTAAATCAACCCAAATCTGGGGTGTCGCGAGACGAACCCCTCCCCCCCCCCAGAATATGACGTAGTCCGGGGGAGAGGAAAATCTCGATTGGCAGATCTGGCAGAATTCATTTCATTTAGAGTAATTGTCGATATCAACTCAAGTTTTCGATATTGACCATCTTTTGACTTTACCAGCCTTGCATACTGCATAATCCCCTGGAACGACTGACGTTGACTGATCACCAGCTTTGACCTCTGGACCTTGAAAGCTGGTTGCAACCACTCATTTCTTGAAGTGTACAATCCCCATTGCACATCTCCATCGCGATATGGCGGCATGTGCCTGATTTCGATTTGATTCTCGCACACTACATTCTTTTAATTAATCATGCTCTATTTTTCGA